TTGGAGCCCCGGCAGGACGTCTGGCTTCCATCCTTGCTTCTGCGCAATCTACTTGTTGCTTCCAGGGAAGCCATTACCTGAGGTCCCTGCCTTGCTCCGACCCCCCAGGGGCTCCCCTCCACACAGTGAGACCCGAGTCCTCAGCTTGGCCAGCAGGGCCGCCGGGCCGCGCCTCTGCTCCCTCTCCCCCTGCCCAGCCCCCAGCCCCCATCCCCCAACCCCCAGCTCCCCGGACGCGGTGGCGCTGCTCTCGGCGTCCCCCAGGCCCCCTTTGTTCTTCCCAGGCTCTAGGCCTTTGCAGTTGCTGTTCCCGCTGCCAGACAGACCCCTCCCAACACCCTGAAACCCCATTCTCTGCACTGGGTGTTGTCCCACGTGATTCAGGTTTCTGCTTGAATGCCATCTTCTCAGAGAGGCTTCTTCGACCACCTGAAAATAGGAACCGCTAATATCACTCTTCAACCCTTTTTTTCTTCATGACTTCAGTAGTCAGATGTGTATTTGTTTTATTTTTTTTTGTCTGAAATGTTTGTTTTATTCAGTGTTGTTTTCCCCGTGTTCCACCCAGTGACTTCTTATATATAGATGATCAAGAAATAGTTATTGAATATTTTTATATAAAGGGGTTCTTATTATTTGTACCTTTTAGGATTGTGTAATTTGCTTTAAAAAATAAACAATATAGCAAGTTATTCTGGACACCGTTCTATAGCAAAATACAAAGATCTGGTTCCCTCCTGATGACTCCCTACTATTCCATTGCATGGAGGCCCCATTATTTAGTCTCTGATAGTGCACATTTAGGCTATAGCCAATTTTGCAACTAGCACATATTTTTTTGCAAATTTGTTTAATTATTTCTTTAGGTACATTTCTAGACTATGTGAAAAAGATGAATATACATTTTTTAAATGTGAATTTAAGACATAAAGGAATTTTAGAAACCACTTGGTCCAATTTCTTATTTTGAGAAATGAAGAGAGACTACACAGCTATTTTATGTTTTTTATTGAGTTTTTTTTTAATAGAGCTGAGTTTTTAAAATTTTTTATGATGTTGACATATTTCCTTTTATAAAGAAATTTTATTAATTTTAGAGAGAAAGGGAGAGTGATAGCAATATCAATGATGAGAAAGAATCATTGATCGCTCGCCTGCCTCCTGCACATCTCCCACTTGGGACTGAGCCCATAACCCAGGGATGTGCCCTAGACTGGCATGGTGACCTTTTAGTCCGCAGGCTGGCTCTAGCCACTGAGCCAAACCAGCTAGAGCTGAGTTAGCTTGTTTGTTTTTAATTTATTTAATTTTACCAAACATGATTGGAATTTAGTAAGTAATTATAAATCCAATAACAATTCTACATAAATGGACATACAGTGCCAGAATTCCTTGAAAGCAACTAATACCATATTCTTTTGCATAAAACATGCATTCACTGCCACATGTTGGCCAAAATCGGTCTCTATAAGAAGAGACTGTCCCCCTCCTTTCTGCCCTCCCTTTCACTCTCTCTAAAAATCCATGGAGCTAAACCGGTTTGGCTCAGTGGATAGAGCTGTCAGCCTGCTGACTGAAAGGTCCCGGGTTTGATTCCAGTCAAGGGCATGTATGTTGGTTGCAGGCACATCCCGGTAGGGGGTGTGCAAGAGGCAGCTGATCAATGATTCTCATCGATGTTTCTAACACTCCCTCTCCCTTCCTCTCTGCAAAGAAATCAATAAAATATATTTTAATAAGTAAATAAATAAATAAAAATAAAAATCCATGGAAAAAATATCCTCAAGTGAAGATTAACAAAAAACAATAAAAAGTAAGCAACTTTCTGATAGTTAAATCAGAGAAATAAATTTGAGAAGATACAAACTTTCAGGCCCAAACGGTCCACCACCTGTGCAGTCTTGCAGAGGAGTTGCTGAAATCCTACCTTGGAAGAGTTCCCAAGCTGGGAATTGTAAACAACCTCAAAGATACCCTGAGCTTCCTAACCCCTTTTGTTACAAGGCCAGCCCCGGGCACACAAGCATCTCCTGTGGCCATAAGACCTGCCAGCTTCAGGATGTGTAAATAGGAGGTGTGATGCAGAAAAACATGGGCTGGACCATTTCCTTGACTTTCTGTAGTTCTTATTCAGCTCATCCAGGGATTAGTGGGTACTCGTCTACATGGCTGAACACACAAAGGAGTGTCAATAAACACTGTGGCCCCAAGGCCTCAAATGCTTGTAGTCACATACCTCAAAGGGTGTTCTCAGGGCAGACCTTGTTCTTCCAGAGGGAGAGAGCAACTCAGTGTTTATCCAAGGGTGTTTTCCACATAGTCTGAGGGGCTTTAAAGAGATTTCAAACCAACCGAAAGGACTTCCCCTCAAATATGGGGTTTTATACAACATTTCATGAGGTTCTTCAAAAGGGAAGAGCTGAATCTTGACTCCAGGTCTCCTAACTCTTAGACAACTTTATTGTTTTACCTTTCCTACATAGACTTGCAATCCCCTAGTCTATTTGGTTCAGTGGATAGAGCATAGGCCTGCAGACCAAAGGCTCCCAGGTTCAATTCCAGTCCGGGCCCTCAGGCAACCAATTGACGTGTTTGTCTCACACAACCGTTTCTCTCTGGCTGTTCCTCTCTCTAAAAAAGGTCAATGGAAAAACATCCTCAGGTGAGGATTAATGCACACAAAAACTTGCAATTGCCTTGGAATGGGTTTGTGTATGGTGTAATGTAGGAGTCAAATTTCATGCTATAATCATCGTTTTACTATGATATGGGACGCAAATAAATATATAAGGCATAGAACAGTCCTCCCACCCCTGAAATATTTTGTCCAGTGTTTTCCTCTAGAAGTTTTAGTTATTACCTTTAGGTCTATGGTCCATTCTGAGTTAATTATATAGTGTGAAGTAAAAGTCAAGCTTCTTTTTTTTTGTTTTTTTGTTTTTTGTTTTTTGTTTTAATGATTTATTTTTATCTCTGTCAGGCACTCTCAGCTTCCGTGATTTTCTAAAGATTTTTCTTTATATATATATATATATATATATATATATATATATATATATATATATATATATTTTTTTTAATTAAATTATTATCTGTGATTTTTTTTTGCATGTGAATATCCAATTACTATAGCACCTTTTATTGAAAAGACTCATTTCTCTGATTGAATTTCCTTGATACTTTCACTGAAAATTGGTTATATTTACGATGTCTATATCTGGGTTCTCCATTCAGTTCCATTTATTTTTTTTCGTTTGTTTATGTTTGTACATCCTAAGCCAAGGATATTTTTTCCATTCATTTTTAGATAGAGTAGAAGGGAGGGGGAGAGACATATCGATTGGTTGCCTCCCACACATGCTCTGACCAAACCTGCAGCTAAGGCACATGTCCTGGATTAGAATTGAACCTGAGACCCTGCCACCCTTCAATCTATGGGCCCACATTCTAACCACTAAGCAACCAGCTAAAGCAGTTCCATTGATTTTTTTTTAATATTTTATTGATTTTGTACAGAGAGGAAGGGAGAGAGATAGAGAGCTAGAAACATCGATGAGAGAGAGTCATCGATCAGCTGCCTCCTGCACACCCCCTACTGGGGATATGCCCGCAACCAAAGTACATGCCCTTGACCGGAATAGAACCCGGGACCTTTCAGTCCCCAAGCCGACGCTCTGTCCATTGAGCCAAACCGGTCTTGGCAGTTCCATTGATTTTTATCTTTATACCAATGTGAAGCTTTCTTGATTACTATAGCTTTATAATCATTGTAAAATTGTTATAATAAGTGTTAAAATTATGTACATTTGTTTTTCATTTTTCCCTCCAAAATTGTTTTGGCTGTTATAGAATAGATCCTTTGCATTTCCATTTAAACTTTAGAATCTGCTAACCAGTTCTGGTATTTTGATTAGGATTGCTTTGAATCTATAAATTAATTCACACATTAGGGAGACTGCCTTAGCCTGATGCCATTACCCTCGCTGAAATCATTTATTACTTGTTGACAACTCTTCTGATTCCGGGCTCATTAAACAACCACATAGGTAGTTTGTATCCAGGAGGAGAAGGCAGTGATTGGAGGATGTGAATGGTTGGTTTTGTGAAGATAATTTTTCCTATGAAGTAATATGCCAGCATTCTAGTTGTAGCATCATTATTTATCAACTGGGTTAATATCAGTCTGCCCAGAACAATAGTGTCACTCAACGCATGCTGTCACGGGTCGAGTTCCCAGTTTGCAATAACGAAATTGCATCCTGGGTTGTGATGATTTCTCCAATCTACTGCTGCGTTGGGGCAAGTGTAGATGTTCGGATTACATCTTTCTGCCTCCTGGCCAGCTATCTTTGAAGAACGAAGCCGGCCGAAACCGGTTTGGCTCAGTGGATAGAGCGGCAACCTGCAGACCGAAAGGTCCCAGGTTCGATTCCAGTCAAGGGCATGTACCTTGGTTGCGGACACACATATATATTTCAGAGAGGAAGGGAGAGGGACAGAATCATCAATCGGCTGCTTCCTGAACGGTCCCCACCCCACCAGAGATCGAGCCCATAATCGGGGCGTGTGCCCTTGATCGGAATCAAACCTGGGACCCTTCAGTTCACATGCACCGAGCCAAACCAGCTAGGGCCACTCTGCACTGGACATGAAGGCCCAGTGGTCACCTTACAGCCTGAGAAGCCTGGCTCCAGTCTCCTGTGCTTGGGAGCCAGCATTTCGCTGGGAAGCGCGCCTCGCTGGGCTCGCGGTTCCCGGCACCTCTCACTTGATGGCAGTGCCCAACTCGTTTTCTCCCCGCTTTGTTCCAGCCCTGAGTTACACCGGGTGCAGGCTGGGGCTGGCCCGGGGCGGGGGTGCAGGCTTGGGCTGATCCGGGGGCGGGGGTGCAGGCTGGGGCTGGTCCGGGGCGGGGGGCGTGCCCGGGGCGGGGCCGGGCCTGCCCAATGGGCGCCCCCGGGCGGGGGGCGGGGCCCTATTTGAGCGGCCCCTCGGGGCCGGGGGCGCGCGCGCGCGTCCCGGTTCAGCATGTGGCGCGTCCCCGGCCCCCTGTGCGCGCACATCGCCCGGCGGAGCGAGCTGCTGCGGCCGCGGAGCAGGCCGGCCGCCCTCATGTCCACGCTGCTCATCGCCCAGCCGCAGTACGCCTGGCTGCAGGAGCTGGGCCTCCGCGAGGAGAACGAGGGCGTGTACAACGGCAGCTGGGGAGGCCGGGGCGAGGTACGCGGGCGCCGGGGAATCTCTGCCGCCGCGGCTCGCCGGGCGGGCTCTGCGCCTCCCCGCTGCCGCCGCCGGGGGCGGGGGCTCCGGGTGGAAAGTTCCGAAACTCCGCAGGAAAAGTTTTATTTTTTCCCCGAGCAGGGCGCCTTAAGAATCCCCCTGGATGGTAGGCCCTTGTGCGCTGTGGAGAGTGGGTTCGATGCCATGTTGGGGCCGGTTGGGGTTCAACTTCTCACGCACATTTCAAGCCTCCGGGCCGAGCTCTGCGTCTGCAGTGAGAATGGCCACGCTGGCCGGTGGACGTTACCTTAGCTCCTCAGCGGTGACCTCTGCGCCAGGGGGATGTCCCACAGCGCAGGGCTGCATTGTCCTCTTTTCTGAATCCTTGTGGAGTTTGCAAGCTCGGCCTTCCTGAAATCCTGTTTTTTCATGAAATGCTGTTTTTTCCTTGAGGACCGGTGTTTCCGCAGTTCTCTTCCCAGAGCCTATCTCCATGCCTGGCATCTAGTTAGCGCTCAATAAAAACTTTTTCTAGGCTACGATGGGAAGGCAAAGTGCGGATCGCCTAGATTTTTTTTTGAGAGTGGCTTAGGGAAGAAAGTTTTTTTGGAATAAACTATTATATAACATGCAACACACATGTTGTGCATGTTATATAATGAACCTTGTTTTGTTATCGGAAACACCATCCCTGCAGTGATGGTGGGAGATTCAGGTGGTTTTAATACACCCTACTCTGTTGGTGGTTTCCTTTTTTTGTTTTTCCCTATGGCATGTAATCAATAGCTTCTTGGATAATGTGTTTTCTTCCGAAGGCCTTTTTAAATTTTTTTTATTAAATTATTATCTGTGTACATATCTTACCATTGCCCCCCACCCCCCATACCTGAAGGCCTTTTTAAAAGAAAGTTTTTAGTAATAGTTACGCCTTGATTTTTTCTTTTCTTTCTGTTGATCGATTCAGTTTGTGTGGACACAGGCCTCTCCCATAGTTGTTTGGCTTTGGCTGTTTTATCTCATGACCAGAGGGTGAGCAGAGTAAGGCAGAGAAAATAAGTAAAACTCGATTTTGGTCTGTTAATGGGAAAAGGGGACAACGTAACAGGTGACATTTAGATTTTTGTTGATGTACCTAATACTTAGATTTGCAGAAAGAGGGTTCTAAATATTTCAGTCAAAATGAAAAGCTTTGTAGAGTGGCTTATTTGTAACAGATTGGACATTTTATCTTAGTTTTTTTTCTTCTTCCTCCCTTTTTTCTTCCCGCATCTGGCCTATTCCCCTAATTTGGATGGGATTACCTTTTCAATATCTGGTTGTCATTTTTGTTTTTTGTTTTTAGGTGATCACGACCTATTGTCCTGCTAACAATGAGCCAATAGCACGAGTCCGACAGGTAGGTACCGTATTTTTCTGACCATAAGACGCTCCGGACCATAAGACGCACCAGTTTTTAGAGAAGGGAAATGAAGAAAAAAAGATTCTGAAACAAATAGTGTCCTAAAATATTTTATGTGCATTAAAACCCAACATCACAGTCATAAACACATGTAATCAACCCTGTAAAGTAAACAGCAGCATTTAGAACCATTTTAGAGCCGGGCAAGCACACAGAGACCACACAGAGCCGGGCAAGTAAAAAAACTTTTTTTTTAAAGTATATGTGTAGGCTATATTTGGACCATAAGACGCAGGGACTTTTCCCCCCCACTTCTGGGGGAAAAGCACTTCTGTTTTTCATGCAAACAGTCTACCTGGAGTTATTGGGAGTGATCAAGAGCAATAGGAAATTTCAAAGTCAAAGAACAATGTTTCTTTTTCATTGCCATTTAAGAAACTGTCCCCAGTTCCCCGTGGCGATGTGTGTGCCCTAGGAAAGGTGAACCATAAGGAGGACCGGGAGAGAGGGGGTCCCTTGCTTCTGAATCACCGGGGATTCCTAGAATGAAGGTTCTGGCCTCATAAACCGGGGTTGGAGCCCGAGGTTCTGATCTCCCAATACGCCTTAGGTGTTGTCTGAGATGCTAACGGACAAAAAGCACACCCCGATTCTACGTGTTTTACTGGATTCCAGCGGGTTTTGGGAAGCCTGGGCCATGAAAATGATTTCAAACCACACATTTTAGGGCCACCCAGAGATTTCCAGTTCTTTTCCAAAGTAGTCTGTGTTCTTAGGAGACCGTCACTTTTCTTTTCCCTTGTCTCCACCTAATTCTTTTTGTTTGTTACATTCTCCTCTCCCCCCTTAATTCTCAATGTAGGCGAGTGTGGCTGACTATGAAGAGACAGTAAAGAAAGCAAGAGAAGCATGGAGAATCTGGGCCGATGTAAGTATGGAGGCCGAGGCATGACTCCTTACCGTAGCTGCAATGCGATAAAGAAGCATCTGATGAGCAGGCAGTGTCCCTGGCAGAAAGGGGAGCTCTTTGGGGCTGTGATAATCTCTGCTATAGTTCAGAATAGTGCCTTTTATTTGGCCTTCAGTGTCAATAATAGTTAAAAAATGTTTTAAATTGATTTTTAGAGAGAGAAATAGAGAAATGTCCACCGATTGCCTCCGACACACACACACCAACCATGGATCAACTGCAACCTGGTTATGGGCCCTGACCAAGAATCCAACCTGCCAATTTTGGTGTCTGGGACAACACTCCAGCCAGCTGAGCCACACAGGCCAGAGCATCAGTGGGTAGTTTAAAAATGGATTAAAACTGTTACTAACAGCCCTGGCCTGTGCAGATCGGTTGGTTGTTCCTCTCCGGTGCACAGAAAGGTTGAAGGTTGATGCTGGTCAGGGCCCATAACCAGGTCTCCCCAGTAAGGGGTGTGCAGGAGGCAACTGATTGATGGATGTTTTTATCTTCCCCTCTCTCTCTAAAATTAATAAAAACATTAAAAAAAATAAAAATACTTATTTGCTGCTTCTCCCTCCCACCAGCTTTATGGGAGGTGAACGGGGAGTATCTCAGGAACAGGTTCACATTTCTGGTTCACAGGGCAGTGGTGGCTGCTCTTTCAAAGGGCAGGGGCTGGAGTTCCTAAACCGGCTAACGGCCTTGAAGTGTGCGTTCTGCTTCCTCCACCCCTGTGTCCGCCAGGGGTTACATGAGCAAATGTAGGGACAGAGTGGAGTTTGGCCCCGCTTAGCTGTCCCGCGGTGAGGGCCAGTTCTCTGGAGGAGGGGAGAGTAAAGAACAGGGTTAGCCTGGATTTCCTAATCCTCCCTCACCTCACCCTGAATATCCCTCTTGGTCTGCCACCAAGCACTCCGGGCCTGTGGCTGTAGGAATATCCCGGGCTTCACCCAGCTCTGTCCCTGGGAAATTCACCTCAGTGTGCTTTGTTGTAAAAAGGGGAGACTGTGCCCATTTCCTGGGTTATCACGGGGGTAAAATGAGTTAACCGTGTGAAATGCTTACCATGTGAAATGCTTACCGGAGAGCCTGGCACATGGCAAACCTCTACCTGCCAGTGATAAAAGCACGTGCTGCTGGGTCTGGGATGTTGAGCTAAGTGTTTTCGCTGAATCGGTGATTGCTGGTGGGTGGGGATGTCCTTGGGGAGGGGCAGGCTCTCCTGGGTTGGATGTAGCTTTGTTGTTTGCTGAGAGACCTCTTTTCCATTATACATAATCAAAAATATGCCTGAGCAGGAAAACACCACTTCCAAAGGTCACCAGTGTGCTAATAAGTAAGTTCCCCCACCTGCGTACCGAATAGTGCCCAGAGCAGTGTCACTCATTGTCCTGCTTTAATAGTAACTTTTTTTTCTGATCGTAAAAGTAATGCCTATTCCCCACTTTAAAGAAAATTGAATGTGCAGTAAACAAGATAATCAAGCTTCCCTTCTCAGTGCAAACACTTTTCTGGAGTCTGCTGGGTCTTGAATGCCTTCAGCACAGAGGAATCCGCTTGTCCACGGGGCACGTTGTGGGTGGCACAGGAAGTGCAGAGCTGGCCCCGGGCCCTGGCCCGCTCCGCAAGTTTATTAACATGTTGCATTAGTGTGCGACATTAGTTATAGCGGGTGAGGCCATACTGATACATTGTCATTAAATATATAAAATCCGTCATTTATATTGGGATTTCACCCTTTTATGCACTATTTTGAATGCCAGTGAAATATTTGACCAGAAACATCTATTATATGTGTGTATTTATCCAAGGCAAATACAATCATGTTTGAGAAAAGTTAGTGTGAATTCAGGATCTTTTTTTTTTTTTAAATATGTTTTCATTGATTTATTTTTAGAGAGAGAGGAAGGGGGGGGGGAGAGAGAGAGAGAGAGAGAGAGAGAGAGAGAGAGAGAGAGAGAGAGGGAGAGAAAGGGAGAGAAGGAAAGAGGGAGAGAGGGAGAGAGGGAGAGAGGGAGAGAGGGAGAGAGGGAGAGAGAGAGAGAGAGAGAGAGAGAGAGAGAGAGAGAGAGAGAGAAACATCAACATTGATCAGATCGGCTGCCTCCAGCAGGCCCCTGCTGGGCACCGGGCACCGGGCACCGGACACCGGACACCGGCGTCTTTTCCGACTGGCCTTCACATCCCTCTTCGCTCCAGGGGTGGAGCTGCTGTTGTGACATTGGTGTTGGGCTGTCCCTGGCGGGTGTTCTTCCTCCGGGGTCTCCTTGGTGGCCTGCTCGTACTCAGCAGGGCCGGACTCTGCGCCTTACAGCCTTCCTCACTCCTCTCAGACGTCCCGGAGAATGGGGGCTGCTCGGTGGGAATGGGCTGCTTTTCTGGGTGATGGTAATTGGGGATCCACTTGTTGGAATTCGCGTTAAGCAACTGAGTTCAAAGTTTAGGGAAGAGAGAGACTTTCCCAATTGTGCCTCCCTTCGGCCGGCCTTCCTGTGTGAGGACCGACCACTGAAACTACTGTGTCATTTAGTTCACTTAAGTAAGCCAGGAATTTTTCAAAGGAAACATTTCCCTCGAAGGGGAAAGGAACCAAGTGAAAAATGCGGAAAACTAGTTGTAAGAACTGATTTCTTCCTCTTCGCTGGAGCTTACCACATTGAACCTGGTTAGTTCCAAAGGCTGCTTTCTTTCACGAGGCAGTTTCAGCTCACCTGTTTCTGTCCTCTGCACCCTCGTTTGTCCTCTGCATCTCTGCTGGAGGAGCCAGAGCCTCTTCCCTCTCTTCAGGGCAGGAACTGTTAGCGGGCCATCCTTAACGGAATGGAGGAGTACCAGATACTAGGCAGCTCTTAATCATGGGTGTCATTATAGTAATTCCTCAAAGGCTCAACTAATACTTCCCTCCTAATTCTTTATTATTATTATTATTATTATTATTATACTATTTAATATTTTAATATATTAATATAATTATTAAATATATTATTAAATATATTATTTTAATATATTTTATTGGTGTTTTTTTTCAGAGAGGAAGGGAGAGGGATAGTTAGAAACATCGATGAGAGAGAAACATCGATTAGTTACCTCCTGCACACCCCCTACTGGGGGTGTGCCTGCAACCAAGGTACATGCCCTTGACCGGAATCGAACCTGGGACCCTTTAGTCCACAGGCCAACGCTCTATCCACTGAGCCAAACCGATTTCGGCACTTCTCTCCTAATTCTCAATGTGACTTCACGGGTGAAGTGTTTAGGGACTGCAGACTCTTGCTGCCACCTCAGGAGGGTCTGAGAGTATTGATTCCCAGTTATGCAAGGCCTGATCAAGCTCCCCCTGGAGATGTAGCTTTCTTCCTTATTTCCTATCCCCCCTCATTTCGCTTTCCCAAACCTAACCCTGCGGTTCTCAACTTGTGCTTTTTGTGCAAATCATCTGGGAAGCTGAGGGAGTGGGAGAATGCCAGCTCTGGCGGGCATGTCTGTGGTTAGTGTTGTCGGTTCAATTCTTGGTCAAGGGCACTTACTTGGATTGCAAGTTTGATCCCCAGGCCAGGTCAGGGCACATGCCGAAGGCAAACACGATGTGTGTCTCTCACATTGATGTTTTTCTCTCTCCCCCGTCCTATTCTCTAAAAAATCAATGGAAAAAATATCTTTGGGTGAGGAATAATAACAACAAAAAAGATGCCAGATTTGAGTGGGTGAGTTGGTTGTGGGTGAGTTGGTTGTGCGTTGTGCGTACACCAAGAGCTTTCCAATTCGATTCCCAGTCAGGACACATGCCCAGGTTGTGGACTCCATCTCTGGTAGGGGTAGGGAGTGTGCAGTAAGTAGGCAGTCGATGGATGTTTCGCTCTCACATCAATGTTTCTGTCTCCCTCTGAATAGTCAGGGTTGAGAATCAATTTTAAATTATCAGGTTTTGAACATTTTTTTTTTAAAATGTGTTTTTATTGAGAGAAGAAAGGAGAGGGAGAGAAAGATGGAAACATTGATAAGGGAGAAACATCCATTGGTTGCCTCCTGATGCCCCCCACTGGGGATTGATCTGGCAACCTGGGCATGTGCCCTAATCAGGATTCAACTGGTAACCTCCTGGTGCATGGATAATGCTCAACCACTGAGACACACTGGCCAGGCTCAAGTCTTGAACATCTTTTTAAAAAAAATATATATTTTATTGATATTTTACAGAGAGGAAGGGAGAGAGATAGAGAGCTAGAAACATCGATGAGAGAGAAGCATCGACCAGCTGCCTCTTGCACACCCCCTACTGGGGATGTGCCCGCAACCAAGGTACATGCCCTTGACCGGAATCGAACCCAGGACCTTTCAGTCCGCAGACCGACGCTCTACCACTGAGCCAAACCGGTTTCAGCAAGTCTTGAACATCTTAAAGTCCATTTCTCTCTGCTGCCATTTTGTAGTCCAGGCAGCCACCACCTGAACTATGGTCTTCCTGTCCAGTTCTTGTTTCCCTCAGATCCATTTTCTATATTAAATTAGAGTTATATTTTAAAATGTACTGTTCCCCCTCCCCATCTACCCCACCACCACCTAAGGCCCTCTGGTAATTGCCTCACTGTTTTTGGGTCCTATACATGGCCCTTTGCCGTGTGGCCCCTGCATTTCACTCCTGCCTCTTTGAACTCCTTACAATTTTCTAAAACCACCATATTTTTTCTTGCCTTTTGAACTTTGCATTTTACTTTCTTTTTATATATTTTAAAGTATGTTTTTATTGATTGAAGGGAGAGAGAGAAAAAAACCCTACCACATGGATCAGCTGCCTCCTGCATGCCTGGTACTGTGGATTGAGCCCACAGTAATGTTCCCTGACTGGGGATTGAATCCCCAACCTTGGCATATTGGGATGATGCTCTAACCATGTAGATACCTGGATGGGGCTTACCATTTATACTTTGAGTTGGACACTAAAATTCCATTCTTTTCTTAGGTTCCTGCTCCAAAGCGAGGAGAAGTGGTGAGACAGATTGGGGATGCTTTGCGGGAGAAGATTCAAGTACTGGGAAGCTTGGTAAAGTATTTCTGTGTAAAAACATAACCCTTTAAAGGGGAATAGGACTGTCATGCCTTTCTGTATATGAGATTGATTTTATTTTAAGGTGGTTTTTTTTTGTTAATTTTCTTTTTTTATCTTCACCCAAGAATAAAAAAAGAAATGTTTTTATTGACTTTAGAGAGAGTGAGAAGCAGAGAAACATCAGTGTGAGAGCAAAACATTGTTTGTCTGCCTCCTGCACACCCCTGCCAGGGACTGAGCCCGCAGCCCCGGCGTGCGCCCTGACCGGGAGGTGACCTGGCCATTTCGAGGCCCAGGACGAGGCCCGGCCACCTGAGCGGCCAGGCCCGGTTGTGATTTTTCTTTTTCTTTTTTGGTTTTTCTAACATTGTGATTTTTTTTTGAAAAGCAATCTACACATTTCAAAAGTCTTTTCTCTGGAGGAAAGGTGAACAAGACAGGAAAAAGTGAAGTCTATTGTTGGGTTTTAAAATTCTTCAGAAAAATAAGTACAGATTTTCTAAAGTTTATTGCCCTCACAAGAGACACAGAATATGTTTTGCATTCCCCCCTCTGGTCATTTTAATGTTTAAAAGATGAATTCTGCTGGAACTATAGCTTGGCTTTTTGTATTTTTAGGTGTCTCTGGAGATGGGGAAGATCTTAGTGGAAGGTGTGGGAGAAGTTCAGGAGTACGTGGATATATGTGACTATGCCGTTGGCCTGTCACGGATGATCGGGGGACCCATCCTGCCTTCTGAGAGTAAGCAGTGAAGTCACGTAGGCTAAGAGTTCCGTGTTCTGATACAGAGAGCTCCAAAAATGCCTTGGCTGTGATCAGTTTGCAAAAGAGGACTTGTAAGTGGCATGTACATGAATGAAAATGCCTTCAATTTTATAGTCAGAAATGTAAGTTGAAACAGATGAAAACATCAGAGGAAGACATTTGAAAAATTTATTTTATTATTGAGAGTATTACAGAAAAATTTATTTTCACTTATTTTTTTAAATACATTTTTATTGATTTCAGAGAGGAAGGAAGAGGGAGGGCATTAATGATGAGAGAGAATCATTGATTAGCTGCCTCCTGCATGGCTCCTTCTGGGGATCGAGCCCCCAACCCAGGCATGGCCTTGACCAGAATAGAACCTGGAAACTTTCAGTCCATAGGCCAGTGCTCTATCCACTGAGCCAAACCGGCTAGGGCTATTTTTACTTTTATTTTTAAAGGTAAAACAGTGCTGGCAAATTTGTGGGTTGACAGACACTCCTATGGAGACTGACTAGTCGTAACATGAATTGCCCATCCATTTGGAAAACAATTTAAAAATAATTCCAAGAGCCTTAAATTTAATACCAGTTTCAAGAATCTAATTTGAGTAAATAATTTGAAACGTGACAAAGGTTTATGAACAAAGATATTGATTGTGGTATCAATAGGAAACATTAAAAATGACCTGTTAATGCTGTAAGACAAAGGTGGGCTCATGTTGGCAGTCTGTTAGCAGGTAAAAAAAATCCTGTTTATGAAGATTGCCTGCTTCCAACCCACACTTTTTATTTTTATTTTATTTTATTGATTTTTTTACAGAGAGGAAGAGAGAGAAATAGAGAGTTAGAAACATCAATGAGAGAGAATCATCGATCAGCTGCCTCCTGCACATCCCTCACTGGGGATGTGCCCGCAACCAATGTACATGCCCTTGATCTGAATCGAACCTGGAACCCTTCAGTCTGCAGGCCGACGCTCTACCACTGAGCCAAACCAGCTTCGGCTCAACCCCACACTTTTATGGAAAGGATGTATTTACTTATTTTTAAATGATTTTTATATTATTTTTTTGAAGAGACGATATACTCATATCACAAAATTAAAACGAAATAAAGGAGTAAAGGATGAAAAGTATTTCCCCTGGATACTCCACAGTAACCCTATGGAAGTAGTTCCTGGTTTCTTGTATATCTTTTTAGAGCTTTTATTCACTTATAGGCAAATATGTGTGTTTTGGAAACACAGACATTAGGAAACTATACTTTCCTTTCTATATTTTTTTCTACTTAATGGGTATTGGACATTGTTTCATATTCTTCCATTAAGAGGTTTCTTCATCTTTTTTAATATATTTTTATTGATTTCAGAGAGGAAGGGTGAGGGAGAGAGAGAGAGATCAAAACATCAGTGATGAGAGATAATCATTGATCGGCTGCCTCCTGCATGCCCCCTTCTTGGAGATTGAGCCTACAACCCAGGCATGTGCCCTTGACCTGAATCGAACCTGGGACCTTTCAGTCCACAGACAGATGCTCTATCTGTTGAGCCAAACAAGCTAGGGCTCCTTCCTATTTTTAAAAAAATATATATTTTATTGATTTTTTTACAGAGAGGAAGGGAGAGAGACAGAGAGTCAGAAACATCGATGAGAGAGAAACATTGATCAGCCGCCTCCTGCACACTTCCCCACGGGGGAAGTGCCCGCAACCAAGGTACATGCCCTTGACCGGAATCGAACCCAGGATCCTTGAGTCTGCACGTCGATGCTCCATCTACTGAGCCACACCGGCTTCGGTGTAAAGATCCTATATGTAATTTATTTAACCGGTTTCCAAGTGATGGATGTTTTCCAGCTCCTGCTGTCACACTGTGCAGCCAGGACCAGCCTTGGGCTCTGGGAGGTCTCAGTGACAGGCATACGGGCTTGTGTGGTTTGCCGTGTTTGCAGTTTTGATAGAGCAAACGTGGCTCTGGGTGGCTGCATTGAAGACAGAAGGGCTGGAAGTCCGCCAGAGGGTGATAGTGGTTACTGTCTTCTTTCTATTTTTCAGAGTTTCCCTGGGAGGTGATCATGATACATTTATGATCTGAAAAGAAAAAATTTTTTTTTTTTAAAGAATGTAATATTAATCGATGCATGGTCTTTGAGCTAACTTTGACCTCACTGATAATGCAATTAATGCTGATTGTGTGTCTACCAGTTGCCAGGTGATCTCATGGGTGATACTTGGTCTAAATAAGGGATAGTCCTTGTCCTCAAGGAATTTATAAGCCTGCAGATTCCTTACCCTTAAGAGAGGCAAGCGGGAGATAAGTATACTAGAACATGATAGATACTGTGATGGGGCGGAGGATAGGTCAGTGAGCCCCTACGCTAGCCGAGAAAGTAAACCCAGGGCTTCCCAGAAAAAGCAATTGAAGTTTAGATTTCAGGGCGGCCTTTTAAATAAGTGACAGCTTAGTGTCCTAGCCGGTCTGGGGCATCGGCCTGGGCCTGCGGACCAGAGGGCCTCCGGTTCGATTCCGGTCAAGGGCGCCATACCTTGGTTGCAGGCTCTTCCCTGGCCCCGGCCATAGGTGGGGCACATGCAGGAGGCAACCAATCAATGTGCTGCTCTCACATTAATGTTTCTCTCTACCTTTCCCTCTCTCTTCCAGTCTTCCTAAAAATCAATGGAAAAATATCCTTGAGTGAGGATTAACTAACTAACTAACTAAATAAATAAATAAATAAAAAAGAAAGCTTAGGATGGGAGAATGTGTGCTGTTGGGGAACTGGATGGCTTAGCACACCTGGAGGCCCAGTATGAGGGGGCTGGGTGGTGGGGCGGAAGCGGGAAGAGGATTGTCCCTGACGGGGGATGGACTTTAGGTGGGCAGCTACAGTCGTGACCCAGGGTTTAAGCAGGGAAGTGTTCTCAGAGCCGCACTGGCCTCCCTGAGGGGGATGGGGAAGAGGGGAGGGCAGGGGTGGAGGTGGCAGGTCCTGCCAGAAGGAGGCGGAGCCAGCACATCATCTGAAGGGAGTGTAGGAGGCCTAGACCCAAGGAGGTCTGGCAGGGGGTGCAGCAGTGGCGGCTTCCCTTGCTAGCGAGCTGTGAGCGTGGCCACACGGATGCATGGCTGGGAGCTCCGCCTTCCTGGTGGGTCTGGCTTTGACCAGGGTTTGTGAGCCAGCCCTCCTTGCTTCACTGCTTTGGTTGCCCTTGGTTAAAATGACCAGAGTTCCTTCAGGATCAGAGACATTGTGTCTGGTGTCATTATGGTTGGTGTCATAGCCATTTTGTAGTGTGTTAATTAATGAACCAATGCCCCGCAGCATGCAGAGAGATGCACGGCAGGGCCTCTGGAATCCCCTCTTGGTCCCGAGCGCCTTTGTTCTGAAGCAGAGCAGACTGATTAATGAGACATGCATTAAATGAACACGCTTAAGCATGCTCCTCGCCTCCCCCTGTCTTCAGGACCTGGCCATGCACTCGTTGAGCAGTGGAATCCCGTAGGCCTGGTTGGAATCATCACCGCGTTCAACTTCCCCGTGGCGGTGTACGGCTGGAACAACGCCATCGCAATGATCTGCGGGAACGTCTGCCTGTGGTGAGGCCTGCTCACTTGCTTTTCTAGAATAGATGATAAAAGTAGCCATTATTAGGAACTAGCAAAAGTATTTTATTTTTAAAATATATTTTATTAATTTTTTTTTTTACAGAGAGGGAGGGGGAGAGAGAGAGAGTTAGAAACATCGATGGGAGAGAAACATCCATCAGCTGCCTCCTGCATGCCCCCTCCCCCTCCCCCCCATCCCCCCACACACACTGGGGAAGTGCCCTCAACCAAGGTACATGCCCTTGACCGGAATCGAACCTGAGACCCTTCAGTCTGCAGGCCGACGCTATCCACTGAGTCAAACTGGCTAGGGCTAGAAGTATTTTAAATGTATTGAAATGTGTTCTCCTACTCTACTCTTTTTTTTTATTGTTGTTAAGATTTTTTATTGATTTTTTAGAGGGAAAGGTAGGGAGAGGGAGAGAAACATCAATGTGAGCAAAACATCCATTGGCTGCCTCCTGCACGCCCCTGGTGGAGATTGAGCCTGCAGCCTGGGCTTGTACCCTGACGGGGTTGAGCCAGCAACCTTTTGGTTCATGGGATGATCCCCAACCAACTGAGCTATACTGGCCAGGGCTCTACTCTTTCCGTTAACATATTAAGTCATATTGGCTACTTGTGAAGTGCCCACTCTGAATTGTTATGTACTATTTTACTGTTGGTAAAATTTTTTGACTTATTTCTTTTTTTGACATAGCATTGTCTGTACAGTTGCTTCCACCCCAAGGGGGTACTGTAATTAAATTCTGACACTCACTTCCTGTGTTTAGTGTCAGATTCCTCATGTGTAAGGGTTCAGACTTCCACAAGACTGGCTCCACTTCAGATACAATCTGAAAGTACCCCAGGCCCCCAGGACATCTGCAGTTCTGGCCAGCCATCTGTAAATCTGGGGGTTCCCGTGAACTCTCAGTTTCAGTAATTTATTAAAATGACCCAGGGGACTCAAGAAAGCGCAGTACTCAGATGATTATAGTTTTTTTTTTTAATAAAGGATACACATAGGGAAAGGCCGAGAAGTGTCTCAGACGCAGTGCCTCCAGGCCCTCTCCCAGTGGAGTTGGGAGATGGTACCCTCCCAATCAGGAGTCTCCGCTGAGCTTTGATGTCCAGAGTTTTTTTATTTTACTTTTTTATTATTTTTATTTATTTATTTTTATATTTTTATTGATTTTTTTTACAGAGAGGAAGAGAGAGGGATAGAGAGTTAGAAACATCGATGAGAGAATCATCGATCAGCTGCCTTCTACACACCCCCCTCAGGGGATGTGCCCACAACTAAGGTACATGCCCCTGACCGGAATCGAACCTGAGACCTTTCAGTCTGCAGGCTGACGCTCTATCCACTGAGCCAAATCGGTCTCGGCCAGAGTTTTTTATTGGGGTTTTATCCCATAGACATTGCTGATTGAATCATTGGACATGATTGAATGCAATCTTGATTTCTCTTTCCTGTGGTTGGTCTTTCTGGTGACAATTTTGAGGCTAATTAGTAGACATCACAAGTCACCTTGTTAGCATAACAAACTCACTTCTGTCACTCAGAATCCTGAGGTGAGTTTGTTTTGGTAATTGTCACCTGAGGTTATTTTTTCCTTTGATTTTTAGAGAGAGTGGAATGGAGGGAGGGAGGCAGAAGCATCAATATGAGAGAGACACCGATTGGTTGCTTCCTTCATGTTCCCTGACCAGGGCCAGGGATGGAACTTGCATCTTGGAACCTGCAGCCCAAGTGCGTGCTCTTGACTGGGAATCAAACCTGGGACTCTTTGATCCGAGGGCTGATAACTCCAACCACTGCTCGGTGGCCCAATGTATTTGAAAGCTCTATGCCAGAAACAAAGACAGTTAAATAATATTTATTGTACTATATTCCCCAAACAGAAAACTTAAATAAATAACTAGGAGGGAAAAAAAGAACTTTCAATACGTCACAACCTTCTTTTTAAAGTTTGACTCTCTTTTCTTCAATAAGAATTTGATAGTGAATTTCTAAATTTTCTGAAGCTCTTGGCCAATGTTCCCATTGATGCATTAAGTTTTACATTTTATGAACTATATGACAGTAAAAGTGAAGTGGGAAATATCAGCTTCTTGTTTTAGCTTTCCTGTTTAGTGGAAGAACTAGATTTGTCCTTGCCTGCTTTGGGTCTTACCACTATTTATATACTGATCTAAATGTAGGCAGCTGACTGTACTCAAAGACTGTCCACAAAAGCAATGCAGAGCTGGAGGGATTAATCATTCCGCACCATGTTGCCAGAGGGACCTGTGCTTTCTGGCAGCTCAGCAGCCTTCCAACATAAATCCTGTTGATTTCCTCTTCATTCAGCTCCCGTGATTGGCAGATATTAATGTAACAGTTCCTATGAGCAGTGCGGCAAGCAGTTTCAAAATTTCTTTTGTCCTTTTTATATTTATGAAAGTTTTGAGGTCTGCGAGGTCCCAGAGACACCAAGCTAAAGGACAGATTCCTATTTCAGTTATGAGAGGCTCAGTTGTCTAAAAAGACTTCGGCTGGATAATAAAAGGTATTAATGATTTTCACCAAATTAAATTGCCTTTTTTTTTTTTTTTTTTTTAACCCTCTCAAGGAAAGGAGCTCCAACAACTTCCCTCATTAGTGTCGCTGTCACAAAGTGAGTATGTGTGACTTTCTTCTTCCTGGGTGTGGAGTGATCTCAAAAGGGTGATTGGCAGGCACTGAATTTTAATGTGATGTAAAAGTCTCACATTTAAGGTGGGATTTGGCTAACCTCTTCCTCTCTTGACTGTAATAACACTTAGTGTTGTTTGGCAGCTTACAGAGCTCTTTCATTTAACTCAGTAGAAACATGGCTGATACAGATTTAAGGTTGGAAATAGAACTCTTATAAACATTATTGTCACTTGCAAAAGAAAAGCAAACCCAGCACAGGGGAAATTTTCTTGCGATTTTGGGGCTATAGTTTTTAACTATTCAACAGGTTAGTGGTTTTGTTTTCTACCCAGCTAACTCTTTTATTGCTTTTGTTTAATAGACTATTAGCAAAGCAGAAAGAAATATTATTCCAGGCATTCTTCTCACACTGTCTAAAATGTATTTTATCTTTTGATTAAAAATGGCTTTATTTACTCATATTTGAAAACTTGACAACTGACTGTGTCATAAAATCAACGTCAATAAACTTGTCACTCTGGAAGTTAGAGATCGTATACGAGAGTACCCCTTTCCATGTGAGTGATGATGCATCCTTTATGCTGGGTTGATTTTGTTCTTGGGGCAATTGGGGTATCCCTTTCCCCACTGAGTGCTGGGAGTGGAGTCCTTATGGTATCTCGAGAAAAATAATTTTCTGAGACTTTCACGGGATGATGAATGATTTTTATTTGCGTGGAATTGTGTCATGGGGTTTCCAAAGTCCCATTTCCCTTAGACCAGTGATAGACATGTCACGGAGGTTTCAGTAGAACAAGAAGCAAAGCCAGTGTCCAGAATGTCCCTTCCCGGTTGCAGCAGGGTCCTGTCAGCATCAGCTAGTTACAGTTTGTTAGTCCAGTGTGTGTGGGGGTCCACATGGCTGGTGGCCACGGGAGAATGCCAGGAAGCAGGCGTGAGACCCCAGGAAGCAGGAATCAACCAAGAGCGTGAACGCCTTTGTTTAGGGGATTAAATATCTCAAATCTTCGTGTGCTTGCAGTGGGCATGCCCATTCTGGCCGTTGACCTGTTCCCACGTGTGACTGACAGTCAAGTCCCCTCCAACATTGTCCCCAGTTTATCACCCCAGCTGTACTGGGCATGCGTCTATTTTCTCTCCGTCCGGTCTTTCCCCCAGCCATCTGCAGGGAATAGCTGGTGTCTCTGTAGGGAGTGTAAAGCTACAGCTTCCTGGTGAAGCTGCCCAATGATATGCCTATAATATTTGACCTTCCCTTTACTCCTTTCCTGTTATTAATAACTAGGATCAGTACAGTGGTATCACCCTCATGGCTTGCATTCTCTGATTTAAGAATTGTTGAAGAGAGCCTATGGTGGAGTCTATATGTAAGAATGTTTTCAATATTAGATCATTTATAGGATACTGGTTTAGGAATTGAAAAGTGAGCTGAAAAAGAGAGAATTAAAAAAAAAGAATAAAAAAAGAGACAATAGTATTTCCTTGAAAGGAATGTGTGATATTGAGCAAAATATATCCTTTAAGGTAGGGGTATTTGAATGAAATATTACATATTATTGTGATATACAAAACATAAAAATGATGAGATTCTCCAGGCAATTTTTTTTTCTTCAAAATAAAAAACTTAGAACTGGAAGAAAGAAAATCACTGTAAAGATTTTTTTTGTTAAGTTTATAGAGGTGACATTGGTAATAACATTTTGAGTGCACAATTCTATAATATATCATCTGTATAATGCATTGTATGTTCACCACCCAAAATCTAGTCTCCCTTCATTACCATAAATTTGACCCTCCCTTTATTCTCTCCCCCACCCCCCCTCTCTGGTGCTCACCTCCTGTTGTCTGTGTCTATAAGTTTGTTGTTTTGTTCATTCTTTTGTTGCTTTCTGTTTTATGTCACACATATGAGTGAAATCATATGATTATTGTTTATAAAGGACATCTTTTTGGGGAGACAACTGGAGTGTTTATTTACAATGGCAGTGGAATCTTTTATGGAGATGGGTATAGGATTTGGACCTTTTTTGAAATTTAAATTAAACCAGTTAGAAAGTAGCCAGCAAGTTGGCATGATTGATGAGAAAGAACCTTAGCTTTATTTAGGCCCATGCTCCTCAGAAAGATCAAAACAATTACCCTGTTTCAGAGAAAACAGAATGACTCGAGCCATTTTTATAATTCAAAATAAGATTGAATCAGCATGGAGCTGTGGTTATGTTAACGATTACAGTACAAGTTGTGGGAGTCTGAGGAAAAGCTGTGCTGTTTGCAGTGCTTTAACCTGGAGGTGCTGATATTTCCTGGCTACGAAAGGTTTGATGTGAAGGCAGCCCGCAGTAGTCCTGGACTTAAGGGTTTTGTGGGCAGGCCCAGCTCCCCCAGCTGCATCTCCTCACGACCTGCTCTAGGTTTGGGGAATGTTGGCGCTGCTTTGCGGAGATGTGCTAACCCTTCTCATTTGCTGATGGGGATGCCCTTTCACTTCTTTGTCTTTCTAGGTTTTATTTGTTTTTAAAAATACATTATATTTTGTTGATTTTTTTTTTTTTTTTTACAGAGAGGAAGGGAGAGAGATAGGGAGTTAGAAACATGGATCAGCTGCCTCCTGCACACCCCCTACTGGGGATGTGCCCGCAACCAAGGTACATGCCCTTGACCGGAATCGAACTTGGGACCTTTCAGTCCACAGGCTGACGCTCTGTCCACCGAGCCAAACCGATTTCGGCTAGGTTTTATTTCTTTTTAAAATTTCTTTACCATTATTTTAATGGATTTGTAGACAAAAAACACCAAAACAACAAAAAATGCCCTGTGATCAGTTAACCATCTTGAATCATATATGTCCTCATAGGTTGGCAGAAAATAATTGAAAACAATGATTTCTTGAACTACTTGACCAATGCTTTATATCTTTTATTTATTTTGCAGATTAAAAAAATATTTTAATTGTTTTTTTTAGAGAGAGAGAAAGGGAGAGGGATAGAAAGATAGAAACAGCCGAAGCTGGTTTGGCTCAGTGGTAGAGCTTCGGTCTGCGGACTGAAAGGTCCCAGGTTCGATTCCGGTCAAGGGCATGTACATTGGTTGCGGGCACATCCCCAGTAGGGGATGTGCAAGAGGCAGCTGGTTGATGTTTCTCTCTCATTGACGTTTCTAGCTCTCTCTCTCTCTCTTCCTCTCTGTAAAAAATCAATAAAATATATTAAAAAAAAAAAGAAAGAAAGATAGAAACAAATGAGAGAACATTGACCAGCTGCCTCCTGCACGCCCCCTGATGGGAATCAAACCTAAAACCTGGGTAAGTGCCCTGACCTGGGATTGAACCAGCGACCTCCTGTTGCAGGGGTCAACTCTCAACCACTGAGCAATACTGGCTGGGCAGTGTGTGTGTGTTTTAAATTTTTTTTAATATTCCTTTAGGGAGGAAAAAAAAAGAATTCTACTCTTAAGTGTTTGAAAACCTTATTTCTGTTATGTGAGGGGAAATCCAGGCCCGGATGTGTGAGGGGAGGAAGAGAGTCAGGTGGATGGAGTATTTAAAAATCCCTAAGAATGAAATGGCTTCCTTAGCAGTAACTGCTTTTCCTTTCCAGGATAATAGCCAAGGTCCTGGAGGACAACAAGCTGCCTGGCGCGATTTGTTCCTTGACTTGTGGCGGAGCAGATATCGGGTAGGTCGCTGTGTGCAGAACATCTTTCTGTTGAAGGACCCCAGGTTGATGGACTAGAACCATCTGTCCTAGAAGAGCTAAACGCAGGGCAGCTGGAGTGAGCATGTTTTTTTTGGAATCATTATTGTTAAGGACCTCATGGGCTCTGCCTTTATTAGTGCACAGACTCTGTTGGAGGGTAAGATACTGCCTTTTAATTGCCCAGAGCTACTATTGTAAGGTGTTTATATCCTACAATGACAAGCCGCTGTAATGCTGAGCAGTTCATGGCCTGCTGACACTTGATTTATCAAGGTGCGCTTACACAGCTGAGCTGGGCAATTGGAGTCTGGTGTCTCGCTGCCACCACCCCCATCCCCCCATCCCCTCACTCCCACCAAGAACCTAGCCTATTGGTCTGCGTTCTTCAGCCAACCAAAAAGGAGAACCTTGGGAATACAGCTTCTTTATTTTAATTTGTCCAGGGTTTTTTTTGTTTTGTTTTTTTTTAGAGTATTCACAGTGTTGTACAACCATCACCATTACCTTATTCCAAAACATGGGGGAAAGGGAATGGTTTGAGTGGACCCCAGAAGAAACCCTGTAACTATTAGCAGTCACTTCCTATCTCCCCCCCACACGTAGCAATCACTAAACTACTTCCTGCTTCCATGGATTTGCCTTCTTGAGACATTTCATAAAATCAAGTCATGCAACATGAGGCCTTTGTGTCTGGCTTATTCGCTTAGCCTAATGTCACAGCCTCTTTTTAAGCTGGAACTGACTGTATAATTGCTCAGAAGCATGATGAGATTGTTGTTATCAGCTTAGACTTGGACTAGGTGAGGTTTCATAGGGGTCTTATTGGTGTAGTTCAAATGTTAGTCTTTCTCTATTTTACCTCCATACTACTATACTTCTGGGCTATCTAAAAAAGGAGCAATAAATACTCCTTTTATTTTCAATAAGTGAAATATATGCATAGTGAATTATCTAAATGTCATTTAAAACGTGAGTATAATATCCTTTGACCAATTTGTTCTTCTGGGCATCCTTGCCTTTGGCCTTAGAGTAGCTCAAGTGATTGCATGAGTGTGTAGGTGTGCATCACGGAACAGCGGCCTTGGCTACCCATGCCTATGTTTGCTGGGCTGAATCTGAGGAGGCCTACATGGCTACATTCATCAGCTGTTGGTGCTCTATATTGGACTGATACTGTGGCTGCCTGGTTGGCCCACACCAAGCCCTTTGACGCTCCGAACTGAGCAAATCAATAGTGTCTGGTCTACGTTCCTTAGAAGCAGCTGGAACTCAGAGCATAGCCTTTATAAATCATCTTTCATGAGGGATACTTAGGATGGTTCCTACATTCTTTAGCTTTTTAATTCTCGAAGAATTAGTCATTTAATTGTGTAAAATAACTGGAATGCTTATTGAAGAAATGCTAAGGTCATGTTGTCAGTAACCCAGTTGGGACATAAAGGACTATCTTTCTTTTTTTAAAAATATATATATTTTTAATTTATTTATTTATTTATTTATTTAAAATATTTTATTGATTTTTGTAGAGAGAGGAAGGGAGAGAGATACAGAGTTAGAAACATAGATGAGAGAGTGTCATCGATCGGCTGCCTCTTGCACACCCCCTACTGGGGATATGCCCGCAACCAAGGTACATGCCCTTGACCGGAATGGAACCCGGGACCTTTCAGTCCCCAAGCCGATGCTCTATCCATTGAGCCAAACTAGCCTGGGCTTATTTATTGATTTTTTACAGAGAGGAAGGAAGAGAGATAGAGAGCTAGAAATGTCGATGTGAGAGAAACATCGACCAGCTGCCTCTTGCACACCCTCTACCGGGGATGTGCCCACAACCAATGTACATGCCCTTGACAGGAATCGAACCTGGGACCTTTCAGTCCGCAGACCGATGCTCTACCACTGAGCCAAACCGGCTTTGGCAGGACTATCTTTCTTAATAATGTCCTCAAAGTGATTTCTGTTTATAGAGAGCTCAGAAGAGGTTAGCCTATTGTTTTCCATGGTTCCACTTGTGAAAATCTAGTTCATTTTCACAAAGACCTTCCCTTGCTCTCCTATAACTTGGACTGCCTTTCTAAGAGCCTATGTCAGGGTTTTCCGGCCAGTACCATTAGGTGGCGCCATTGCTGGCTTTCTCTGAGTGACCTGTCTGTTCTGCAGCACAGCCATGGCCAAGGATGAGCGTGTGAACCTGCTGTCCTTCACCGGGAGCACTCAGGTGGGGAAACAGGTGGCCCTGATGGTGCAGGAGAGGTTTGGTAAGTGTTGGCTTTCTAATGATTTTAATTCCCTCAGAGGTATGGATGCGAAATGGAAAAGTTTTTTGTTTTGTTTTTCTTGACCCTTTCCATGAGATACCAGCCATGTTTATCTGAATGTCCAAGTAAAAGAAAAGGGTACAGTTATTAGTGGGTTAATATTAGGCAATCGAAAATGTAAATAGCATAATTGGAAAGGAAAAGGGTGTCATTTTTCTCTCTATATGACTGTAATAAAATCATATCAAATGTATAAGTTCTGTCAGGTCTATTTGGCAAATTAAAAAAAAGAAGACTCACAATCTAAATAGGAATATAGGACCTACAGAGAATGTGGAATAGAAGATTTAAATCTGTTCCCTCATTTATATAAACATAGCTTTGTACACTTTATTTTATGGCTGATAACAGAAGGTTTGAAGGATAATACTGACTGTCATTTCTGGCTATTGTGAATTTGGACTCTAACAAGGGGAGACTTGATAGGCAATCCAGCCCTTTTGCTTTTGGGGCATTGCTTTTATTTATTTATTTGATTTTTTTTTTTTTTTTTTAAGAGAGGAAGGGAGAAGAATAGAGAGATAGACACATCAATGAGAGAGAGACATCATCAACTGATAGCCTCCTACACACTTCCTACTGGATATTTAGCCCACAACCTGGGTATATGCCCCAACCGGGAATCAAACCGTGACCTCCTGGTTCATAGGTTGATGCTCAGCCATGTCAGCTGGGCTCCTGTACCCTTCTTATTTGAAGTAGTAGTTAGATGTTCTCTCTTAAGTATTACTATTAATTAAATGGATTATGATAAAAAAAGGATAAATATTCTGTCTGTCTTAAGTTGCAGGTGCTTTTCATGGAGGGGGCTGGCTGCAGGAGTGTGTTTAGGGAGCAGACAGAGTTGGAAAGATGTAGGAAGCGTAGGTCTCTTCTCTTCTGCCGCACAGCACTTGCAGCCAGGCAGGAGGAGCTGATGGGAGGTGTGGCATCTTCTGTTCCCTCCCCTTCTCTTGCCATCTTGGGCAATGCTCTGCCGTAGAGACCAGGGCTGACGGGGCACTCAGTGACTTGGTCATAGCGGCCCTCTCCCCTTATCATCAGCGCTCACTGACATGTGACCGTTTTAGAGTGTGGAAGTGACACCTCTCCTGCTGTCACATACATTCCCGGCACCACAGATAAATAAAAGTGATTTGCATAGAAGCTGATTTTAAAGTGCATTTAAGGAAAAATAAATGTATGTTCAAATGGTGTGGTAGACACAGCTCTAAAATTTTTATTATTTATTTATTTATTTATTTATTTTCCCTCATTTTTTAAATTAAGGTATTATATGTGTACATACCTTACCAATCCCTCCTCCCCCCCCCCCACTCCCGTACATGCCCTCCCTCCCCAGAGTTTTTCATCCATTGGTTATGCTTATATGCATGCATACAAGTCCTTAGGTCGATCTCTTATCTCCCCCATATCTCCCTACCCTCTCTGCTGTAATTTGACAGTCTATTTGTTTCTTTACTGTCTCTGTGTCTATCTTTTTGTTCATCAGTTAACACAGCTCTAAAATTGAGGCAAATACATTTCAGATCTTTGTGCTGGGAGTGTAAGGTCAGAATGGCATTTGTAGCCTGCTGTGTAATTGCCTGGAATGTAAGCTGGCAACATGTATAGTAGCCCTAATGTTCATGCCCCTGACCTACATAGGTAAGAGGTAGATAGATATCTAACAGTCCATATATTCATCACTAGAGAAGTAGCTAAATGAAATTTGGTGCCTCATCATGATGGATACTATGCAGTGATTTTTTTTTTATAGTTCCTAATGATTTAAGGAGAAGGTATAAGATATTAATCAGAAAATAAAGTAAAATTAATTCAATAGTAAATGTAAGTGCACAGGAGAAAGATTGGAATGCACTATACCAAAGTATAAGGACAGATTTCATGGTGACCTGTGGGCCATAGCTCTTTGCCTGATACATTTTGCTTTTTAAAAAGTAATTTTCTACAATGAGCACATAATTTTTAAACCTTTTTATTGTGATCAGATGTATAAAAATTAACAATTTTAACCATTTTTAAGTGTGTGGTTCTATGGCATAAGTATAATTTACATTGCATAATCATCATCAATATCTATATCCAGAACTTTTTTTTGTTTGTTTTCCCAGTGGCCCCTTGGCAGCTACTATTCTATTTTCTGTCTCTGTGAACTTGACTCTTTTAGGAATATAACCAGAATCACACAATATTTGTTCTTCTGTGACTGGCTCAAGTCATTTAACATAATATCTTTAAGGTTTATCCATTTTGTAGAATTTCCATTCTTTTTAAGGTTGAATACTATTTCATTATATACACACACACACACACACACACACACACATTATACACACACACACACACACAATCCTATTTCATTATATATATATATACACACACACACATTTATTTTAGCCATTCATCCATTAGTGGACACTTGGGTTGCTTCCACCATTTAGCTGTTGTGAATAATGCTGCTATGAACACTGGGGTACAAATGGCTAATTAAGTACCTGCTTTTTACTTCTTTTGGCCCTGTACCCAACAGTTAAATTGCTAGATCATTCATATGGTAATTCTGTCTTTAATTTCTTGGGACATTGCCATATAGTTTTCCATAGTGGCTGCACCATTAATGCTAACTGGGGTTTTTTTGGAAATAACGTCAAACTTAGAGAAAAGTTGTAAGACATACAAAGTAATTTCTATATAGCCTTAACCAGATTCACCAGTTGCTTACATTTTGTCCCATTTGCGTTACCATTTTCTCTTTCTCCAGTAGCACATATACATACACACACACACACACACACACACACGCACCCTCGTACATATACACACACGTATATTGTGGTTGCATGTTATTTTTGAACCATTTGAAAAGAGTTGAAGACCTTTGTTCCTTTACCAGTATATTTCCTGAGAAATGAGTACATTGTGTCATATAACCACAGTACAATTATTAAAATCAGGAACTATTTCATTGATTCCATGCTCATGCTGTGTTTTAAGCCAGAAAACAGATTAAAACGTAACTGGGGTAGATTATGATTTGAGGCCATCTGTGAGTGTGCATGAAATACTAAAATAGGCATTAATATGTGTTTATATGTTTTTAAAGGGAGAAGCTTGTTGGAGCTTGGAGGAAATAATGCCATCATCGGTAAGGCTGCCCCTGTTTTTGTTTTGTTTTCCATTAGGAATATCTTCGGTAGCTGTCCTGAGTACATCACACTTGTAGGACCTCGTCTGGTCTGTTTTCGTACGTGCCCAAGGCCTGACTCACATGTTCAGGAATTTTACTTAGTTATCACTGCAGGCAGAGATAACTAGGAAGGAAGGGTGTTCATGTTGGAAAAGGTAACCTGGGCTTAGCACCTGTGTGCAAGACTTCCCAATGTGGCATTGTTCCTGGTTTTCCCTTCTCCCGGAAAACTGGCCACGTGTGTCTCTACAAAAAGTAACTCCTGCCGAAACCGGTTTGGCTCAGTGGATAGAGTGTTGGCTTGCGGATTGAAGGGTCCCGGGTTCGATTCCGGTCAAGGGCATGTACCTTGGTTGCGGGCACATCCCCAGTAGGGGGTGCGCAAAAGGCAGCTGATCGATGATTCTCTCTCATTGATGTTTCTAACTCTCTATCCCTCTCTCTTCCTCTCTGTAAAAAAATCAATAAAAATATATTTAAAAAAAAAAGTAACTCCTATGTGACTTCCATTAGATTTCAAAAGCATGAGTTTTTCTTTCATGGAATATTTGATGCTTTTATAACTGAGAAGGAACAAGCCCTTAAGGCATTTTAATCACTCACCTGTAGACTTGGGCATTACGTAAGTTTGTTTCTCAATTTCAGATAGTTGGGCATTACATAAGTCTGTTTCTCAATTACTGGTAGAAAATAGTCTACCAGTGTAACTGGGTAATACAATGACCATCCGTAGGTTGAGACAATAAAAGCATGGGTTTTGTGATAAAAAGCACACTTGCTAATTTGTACATTGCCATCACCATCACGTTTAAACGCTTGCACATTTGAAGTATAAGCCAGAAATTTTAAAAGCAGATGGCAAAGGGTTTTTTCAAGATGAAGTTCTAATATAATTAAAGAGTGAGCTCACTTAAAAATGTAGCTAGCACTCCTTGAGCTCTGGGTGTTTGCTGGGTGCTGTGCTCCGCGGGTTCGCATGCATTGCTTCATTTAATCCCCACAATAACCCCACGAGGCAGATACCATTATTTATCTCATTGAAAGGTTACACTCTGAGGCTTAAAGTGAGGGTGTGCCCAGGTGACGGGTCAGGAGGTGGTGGAACCAGCATTCATATCCTGGCAGTCAGACTCTGGAATACTGCTCTTTCCTTACCTCCTTGCTGCCACCCATTAGTACCCCAGACATTATCCCATTTATGGCGGAGGAAATTGAGGCTTAAAAAGGTAAAATAACAGAGCTAAAGGTGGTGGAAATGGACAAGATCCCGTGGTCTGCTTGGGTGCACAAACCCTCTTCTTACCCATCATGCTAGTCTGGGGGTGCTAGGAGTTTGGAAAAGGGACAATGGAAGATGTAAGAGGGAATCGTGTCCCTAAGTTTCTCTAAGGGGTAAGAAGGAAGGGATTACAAGTCACGTAGAGGGAAGGATTAACTTTGTAAAGACTGGGCTAGTGTTTTCTCTGAGGGTGAAGGAGGGGAGGAATGAATGCACAGAACAGAGGACATGGATCCTTCAGAGGAGCAGAGGAAGCTGGGAAGGGCCCTCAGAGCGTGTGGTCACTAAGTGGGGTGAGGTAATCCGGAGGAGGAGTAAAGAGCTCGAGGGGTTTCAGAAATGTGGACACACTTCTGCAGGAGCAACATGAGGATTTCGGGGTCTGGCCTGGAGCAGGGTGGGGTAGATGCTAGAGAGGCAGTCTGCAGGGTGATGGTCCTAGGCTTCCCCCGCTCTCCACGGGCCCAGGGAAGCTGGCAGTCAAAGTGGGCCTCGGGGCTGAGACTGGAGGGAGGAAAGCTGACAAAAGGGATGGCGGTCTTAGAGAGGAGACCTCGAGGAGGCTGCAGTGCAGGCTTAATGTCAGGAGCTGGGAGACACGAAAGGTGAAGAGGTCAGAGGAGCGAGACCCGCCATGCACATCTGTACTGGGATAACCTCTCAATTCTCTATGATCTTTTTAGCAAGTACCTTGTCTGCCTACTTCACAACACTGATAGGTGTATGTTTCTGCTTCTCTCAGCTTTTGAGGATGCGGACCTCAGCTTAGTGGTCCCATCAGCTCTCTTTGCTGCCGTGGGGACAGCCGGCCAGAGGTGCACCACCGCAAGGCGCCTGGTGAGTATGTGTGCAGGCATGGGAGGTGTCCTGCTCTTCAGATTGCACTGGTAGGGAGGTGTCGTAGAAGTGCTTCCTACCCATCATTCTAGGTGACAAATAATGTGGCCCTGGTCTCCTCTCAGCCAGGGACTGCCTTACCCCCAGCCCAGGCTAACAGCAGTCTCTCTCTAACTGGGTGGACTTGGACTAGGAGGTGAGACTGTTTTCAATCCCACACCCAGAACAATATGGACAAAGTCCAGTGCCACTTAGAGACTAAAGCAAGCTTAATATTTGACAAATTCTAAAATTGTTAGCTAACAGACAGCCTTGGCTTTTACTTATAAAAGCATTTTGAAGATTTTAATTTTGAGTTTATAAATCAAGTCTTTGGTTTGACTTGGTATGACATGGTGTATTGAAAAGCAAATGACTATGTATGTGCTCTCTTTATGAATAAACAAATACATAAATAAGACATTAATATTATGTGCATATAAGGAGATGATGTTTAGCTTCAGCATGAATAGGGCTTGGGATGTTAATCTCCACACTCAGATTTGAGCTGGGTTTCAAGTTTTGTGTCAGATACATCCTTGATTTTCATGATTCTTTTGGTAATGAAAAAACTGTGTACAACTAGACAAGTTTAGTTAGGCTCAAAATTTGGCTACATTTGTCATTTTTAAATTATTTATGTTAAGTTTTCCTCCTGTAATTAAAACAGTTTACAGTTGAATTACAGAGGAATTGATTTTGGGTTTTTACTCTCACCCACAGTGAGTCTGAACAAATTCTTCATAAGGTTCATATAGTCTAAATTAACAAAAATAAAAGATATATGAAAATTAAGTCTTTTCTTTTCCCAAAACATTTTATATACATTTTCCCTGTATTTTACAACAAAAAACACATTTTCTTGTTTTTACATTACTCAGTTTAAATTCTCAAAAAAGATCTAAGAGACAATATTCATAAAGCATTTACAGTTTATTAAACTTTATATTCCATTAATGCTGAGAAGAAAATGAGTTCTTTAAAAATGATTAGCCTATAATAATAAAACCTTAATAAGCAAATCCACCGAACAGTGGAACAACTGGTCGCTATGATGCGCATTGACCACCAGGAGGCAGACGCTCAATGCAGTCGCTGCTCCCTAGTGGTCAGTGTGCTCCCATAGGGCTCATGGCTGGTGAGCGCGGTGGTGGTGGTGGTGGTGGTGGTGGTGGTGGTGGTGGTGGTGGTGGTGGTAGCTTCCTCCACCTCCGCTGTAGGCAGGCAGTAAAGGAGCGAGGGGTCCCAGACTATGAGAGCCCTGGAATGCTAGAGGGATGTCTGATTGCTGCCTTAGGCCTGATCCCTAGGGAATGTCTGCCCCTGAGGGGTCCTGGACTGAGAGAGGTTGCAGGCCAGGCTGAGGGGATCTGCCCCCACTGCATGAATTTTGTGCATCGGGCCTCTAGTAACCTTAATATGAAATGCCATAGAAGGAGCATTTCTCTATTCAGCCAATTTTTTATTTTCCTTTGAGTCTTAGAGCAAATATATTTAAATATATTTTTATTGATTTCAGAGAGGAAGGAAAAGGGAGAGAAACATCAATGATGAGAGAGAATCACTGATTGGCTGCCTCCTGGTGGTTTGAGTCCTACTGGGGATTGAGCCCCCAACCCAGGCACGTGCCCTGACCAGAATTGATCCCTGAACTCCTGGTTCATAGGTCAGTGCTCAACCACTGAGTCCCACCAGCCAGGACATGCTTTATATTTAGTATTAAAAAGTTAGAAGCTATTATTAGTCATTGCTCAAAAAGATTTCCATTGAACAGTTAAGTGATATGTAGAAAAACCTATTGCAGTACTACAGACTAAAGTACTACTCATAATGTCAATGTATTTGCCATGTGGAGACCAACTCGGAGAATGGATGGCTAGACGAGTTCACCTCCACCACTGGGAACATAGCATGGAGCTCATGGCCTCCCCAGAGTGAGTCCAAGGCATGTCCTCACCTGAGTGAGGCCTCACTCTGAGAGCTTGGCCTGAGGCTAAGACCACCTGGTTACACAGCAGCAGAGGTCGGCTGTGGTGTGTGTTCTCCGTGACTCACGCAGGCATAGTGGGGAGATAGGTATACTAGGTGTTCTGCTTCTTACGTTATCCATTGCTCTAGAATAGACATTGGCATGATTGATTGTAAAGCTTAATCAAATGGATCCCTAGAGATCTGACCAAGACTTGTCTCATGGTTTTGTTCTAATAGCCATCTATAGGAAATTATTATCTTCCTGTAGTAAACAATTAAAATTAGGAATTATACAATTACAAAAATAAACACACTTGTATTTGCATATGTTTTAGAGATCACAATTTTTCAAAATTTATTATGAACTATAAATTGGCACTATTAAAAAAAATTGTACATTGTTAACAAATTGGTACGTTTATTTGACGATTCCCTTGCGTGTTTCTTTTTTCACTTAGTTTTTGCACGAGAGCGTCCACGATGAAGTTGTAAACAGACTTAAAAAGGCCTATGCACAGATCCGGGTCGGGAACCCGTGGGACTGTGAGTATCTGGTTGGTTTCAGAGGAATTCCTTTACGATGGTGTGACAGTGTTTCTGAACCCTCCCCGACCCCTTTCCTGAGAGGACTGGGGGCAGCCAGGGCAGGCTGTAGGGCGTTGAGGGTGACACGTCTTGCTTCTAGGTCCGGATCTGGAGTGCTTGATGTGTGGGAGGGGGGATGCCCCGGGCATGGTGTTCAGCTGGGATGAGTGTGATGAGCTTTTCTCTCTTCACCCCGTTCCCCTCATCTAAGCCACCACCGCCCACTCATGGAAGGCTGCAGGAGTCACCAGACATACTTCCCGCTCTTACCTCTGCCTTCCACAGTGACTAGAGTGATTTTTTAAAATGTACTTAGATTAGATGATTCACTCTTACTTTAAATATTCCATTGACTTTTCTTTGCTCTTTGACTAAAACCCAGATTTTTTTCCTGCTCCTTCTTTAGCAGGCTTATCATCTGTGTGATCTGGCCTATGCCGCCTTCCCTCGTTACCTCCTGACCTCTACCCCTGCCCTCCTACTTCCTGCCCTCTGTCCCCAGACTTCTGCCCCCATGCTCCTACCTCCTGACCTATGCCCCTGGGCTCCCTGAGCTCCAGCTGTTCCAGCCTCCTCTCAGTGCTCCAGCTGTTCCAGCCTCCTCTCAGTGCTGGGTTCCCAGGCTGCCCTGCTGCTCCTTCTGCCAAAAAGCTCATCACCCAGATCTTCCCGCAACTGGCTTCCTGCTACAAGACCACCTGCTCCCGAGCTTACCTGCCTGCCTTCTTCCTCTCTCCTGTAACTCTCTGCTTTCGGGCAGCCGTCCATGGGCGGCATGAGGCTCTCCCCTGTGAATTGCACACCAGCTGCTGAGCCTGTGAAGTTCTTAGAGAGTGGTCACCCTGCAATGAATGAACCAGGGGCTCGCTGGTTGATCTAAACCAGGGGTGGATACATACATTTGGCCTGCCACCTGTTTCTGTAAAGAAAGTGTGTCAGGACACGGCCACCGTACTCGCTTCCCTATCTTCTGTGGCTGCTTTCAGCTGCAGTGGCCACGCTGAGTAGTTGTGACAGACACCACAAGGGCCATCTGAAGCATCCCATGTTTACTGTCTGGCCCTTGGCAGAAGACGATTGCAGACACGGCTCTAAACCGAGAGGACACAGGAAGGGATTGGTTTCTGGGGAAGCTGTTATAAAAATAAACCGCTGCCATTTAAAGGACTGTGAAGGACATTCCCCTTTCTCTCCAGCTAACGTTCTCTATGGGCCGCTCCACACCAAGCAGGCAGTGACCATGTTTCTTGGGGCCGTGGAGGCAGCCAAGAAAGAAGGAGGCACTGTGGTCTACGGTGGCAAGGTAAGGGCAGCCCGGAGCTCGGCAGTGAGACTGTCACCTCCTCTCCCTGGGAGACCAGCCCCCGACTGTCCTCTTCCTCTCCTCCTTTTCGTAAAGGGGAACACATGCTTTAAACAGGGATGTCATAAACCAAGGGAATTTCTGGAAGGACACACAGGAATCTCAGAGCTGTGGCTGCCTTTGAATTGAGTCTCTAGGAATCACATGGAGGGAGACCTTCCTGGTACAGCAGAAGACTTTGTACTAAAGTAAATTAGAATCCGTATTTAATGGTTATTTTAAAAGGTGAAGTGAGAACGGGAATAAAAAACATGCACACCAAAAACATTTTAATTTAACACAGACAACTATATTTGAGTCTTTAGATGTAGTCAAAGCAGTTTTCTCATGTGTGGTAGGCATTTGCCTTCATCCTTGCATAAGCTATACCAATAATTTATTATCTACAATTTAGTTTCATTTTCTTTTTTTTTTTTTTTAAACATTTAATCTCCTTTATTTATTTTTTGTTTGTTTTTGTTAATCCTCACCCGAGGATACTTTTCCATTGATTTTTTTTTTTTTTTTAACAAGGATGGAAGATCGAGAGGGAGAGACATCCATGTGAGAATAACACATCAATTGGTTGCCTCCTGCAGGAGCCCTGACTAGGGCTCCAGGCTGGGGAGGAGCCTGCAACCAAGGTACGTGCCGTTGACCGGAATAAAACCCGGGACCCTTTGGTCCACAGGCTGATGCTCTATCCACTGAGCCAAACCGGCTAGGGCTCATTTTCTTTTTAAAGAATATATTTTTATGGATTTCAGAGAGGAAGGGAAAAGGAGAGAGAGAGAGAGAGAGAGAGAGAGAGAGAGAGAGAGAGAGAGAGAGAGAAAGAGAAGAGAAGAGAGGGAGGGGGAGGGGGAGGGGGAGGGGGAGGGAGATCAATTGATTGGCTCCCTTCCACACACTCCACACTGGGGTTTGAGCTCGCAACCCAGGCATATGCCCTGACTGGGAATTGAACTTTGACCTCCTGGTTCATAGGTCAATGCTCAACTACTGAACCATGCAGGCTGGGCTTTAGTTTCACTTTTCACTGAGATGAGCCTCTTGCAAAGCTATCTGAGAGAAGACTCCTCTCTGGTTGTCTGACCAGTGACACACCCACATCTCATTGGACAGCACATCTATGAAAATTATGTATTTTTTTGTTACTTTTGTTGAGTTTTTTCCTGAAACGTTCAACTTAATTTTTATAGAAATAGCTCTTTTTCCCTTTGTGTAATACTTATTTAAGTTATGCAGCGCAACATAGCATTAAAGTAACAGATACAGCTGCCATACCCAGGACTGGGAGTAAATCCAGTTGACTCTTGGTAAACATAAGCTGAGAGGCTGATGCAGATTTACACAGACAAACCGGAGAGTCGACCTCCTAACAGGGCAGCTTACTGTGGACACCAGTAAGGGATGGAAGGAAAAGTGATCATTAAGTGAACAGGAACTAGTAATTTGATTACAGGAGGTTAGTTAGGAACGTCTACACGCTATCCTTTTGGAGCTTTTGATTTTTGTACAGTGTGTATTAGTTTGCTGTGGTTGCCATAACAGAATATCATAGATTGGGTGGGTGAGACAGCAGGACTTTATTTTTCTGGCAGTTCTGGGGGCTGGAAGTGTAAGTCAAGGTGCTGGCAGGATTGGTTTTTGGTGAGGCCTCTGTTCTGGCACCAAGTGTCCTCACTCAGCCTTCCCTCTGCATGAAGAGGTGGGCACTGGCTTCTTCCTCTTCGAAGGACATCAGGTCCATGAGCTTAGATCCCCACCCACGTGACCTCATTTAGCTTGACCTCCATAAAGGCCCTGCCTCCAAATTCAGTCTCTCTGAATTTGGGGGTTAAGGTTTCAACGAATTTGGGGGTGGGGACACAATGTAGCTATAACACAATGGGTATAGGTGAATTTTAAAATCATCTCTTTTAACTTTTTTTCAATGCTACTTGGCTGTGATACATGGCACAGCTCTATATCCTTGATTTCTCTTTTCTTTGACCAAGTGAGAGCCAATAGGAGGCAGAGAAAATTTTCATTCGTGGTGGGAAGTTATTGTGCAGAAACAATTCACCTAAAATGGCGTTGGCTTTTTTTTCTCCTAAGTATCAGCAAAGATACCTGACCACAAGTACTGGAACACAAAGTGCTTTCATTGCTTTTATTTCCTTTCTCTGCCGAAGGTTATGGATCGCCCTGGAAATTACGTGGAACCGACGATTGTGACGGGTCTTGCCCACAATGCATCCATTGCGCACACAGAGACTTTTGCTCCAATTCTTTATGTCTTTAAATTCAAGGTAAAAAAATGAGTCCTGTCACTCTTTTCTCTAGTCTAATGGTGAAACAAACATTAGAAGGCCAGGAGAAAAATGAAGGTGTGTTAAATTTCACTCGATTTGCCTTTAGGGGGGTTTTAGAAAGTCCTTCTGGTCGAAACCGGTTTGGCTCAGTGGTAGAGCCTCAGTCTGCGGACTGGATTCCAGTCAAGGGCACATCCCTGGCAGGGTGTGTGCAAGAGGCAGCTGGTTGATGTTTCTCTCTCATCGACGTTTCTAGCTCTCTATCTCTCTCCCTTCCTCTCTGTAAGAAAAATCAATAAAAATATATATATATTTTTTTTTTAAAAAAAAAAGTCCTTCTGGTTAGAATAAACTTGGAAGTTATGGATAAAATATGGTGGGATGAACACTTCGAACCGTAGAGCACATCACGCGAGCTGCCAGGGAAACCAAGGCTGTGTTGCAATTTATGGAGATTGTGGCCCTCATCTCCTGTATCACCTGACTCTGAGCTGAGTGCGCCAGAAATCTGGCTTCTGTGCAGAAGGAACAGATCGTGTGAAAGGCTGAGAGCCAGCCGATAAAATGAGAAGACTGAGGGCAGCGTAAAGATCTCCAGTTGCAATCTGTCTCCGAAGACAGAGTATGGTGGTTGTAATAGATGAAGAGAACTACAGGGTCTCCTTCCCCAGGGTGAGACACAGGCCCCAGCCCTGCCAGATCATATTTAGAGACTGAGTCAAGGTCTGGATGTTCCATGATTGACTGCTGAGGAGTAATGAGAATCGCACCTTACTGCAGTCACATGATTGTATTTCTTAACGTCTTGCTTTAAAAATTGTTTTATCATGTTTCACATATGGTGATTAGAGAGTATAATTTCATGTTTTGTAGTGTGTGCTTGCATGACTATGAGCTCTTGAACAAATAATTTTAAAAATATATATTTTATTGATTTTACACAGAGAGAAATTGAGAGGGATAGAGAGTTAGAAACGTTGATGAGAGAGAAACATCGACCAGCTGCCTCTTGCACACCCCCTACTGGGGATGTGCCCACAACCAAGGTATGTGCCCTTGACTGGAATCGAACCCGGGACCTTTCAGTCCACAGGCCGATGCTCTATCCACTGAACCAAACCGGTTTCGGCTTGAACAAATAATTTAAACTCTGGGGCCTCCTTTGCCTCATCTGTAAATTGGGGATAATAGGAAAATCTGTCAAAAGTGAGGAATAATTAAATGTATGCTAAGTGGTGGTCAGTGTGTTGCACTTAATAAGAGTTCAGTAACTATTAGATGTTATATATATTGATAGTAGCTTGAATGGAAGAATGTATTGGAGTGGAGCCTGGAGTAAAGATTTGATTTTTGTTCCCTGAAGTACATTGGGGAGAAAAACCCTACAAAGGTGCTATACGAGAAGTAGACTTTGTGACTCTGTGCTTCCGTTTTTGCACTAAAATCATACTGGTGCACCTCATGAAATGAGTCTGACAGTAACTTTGACCCGATCCCTGTGTCATCTAATAGCTTTGACCATCTGTCCTTTCAGAACGAAGATGAAGTCTTTGCTTGGAATAATGAAGTAAAACAGGGACTTTCAAGTAGCATCTTTACCAAGGATTTGGGCAGAATCTTCCGCTGGCTTGGGTATAACCTTGTTTATTGTTGAGACCTCTGTCAGTCTGATTTGCGTGGTGATGGACTTTAAAAGAAACACATGAAACCATCATAGTTGAAAATCCATTTTTTTTTTGGCACTGAAAGTCTTAAGAGTTTGTTTGGGTTGTTTGTTTTGTTCTTTTGCTTTTCTATACGTTGCTCTCACCATGCCTCCCTGTTTACACACAGACCGAAAGGATCAGACTGTGGCATCGTGAACGTCAATATTCCGACGAGCGGGGCTGAGATTGGAGGCGCCTTTGGTATGTGCAGCACGTGTCTCCTTTCCGTGGTGGGCCGTGTCGTGGTCTGCTAGGGCTGCCGTAGCAAAATACCACAGACCCGGTGGCTTCAACAACAGAAATGAATGTGCTCACCTTCCTGAAGGCTGGAGTCCAAGACCAAGGTGTTGGCAGGTTTGGTGACTCCTGAGGCCTCTCTTCCTGGCTTGAGGCCACCTTTGTCTTGTGTCCTCACATGGCCTTTTTTCTGTACACACACCTCTGGTGTCCCTTCCTCTCATAGGGACACCCGTCCCATTGGCTTCAGGCCCTCACTTTATGACTTCATTTAACCTCAGTGACCTACTTAAGTCTTCTATTCATTTGTTTACTGAGCTCAGCTACAGTCTGAGTTATTGGAGGCTAGGGCTTCCACATGTTCATGGGGGCAGGTGGGAAGGAGGGGGAGACAGTTCAGTTCATAGCAGGCAGTAAAGGGAAAGCAGAAGTGGCTTTTTAGAAACGTTTGACCAAGAAACTGAAATACTCATCTTGCCTGGTCTAACATGCCTGAGAAAGCTCACGTCCCATATTCCGAGTGACTGTCCGGGGCCCTGCCTTCTATCCTCAGTCGCAGCATCACGCTGGGGCAGGGCCCTCAGCCTGAGATGTGTGGGCCCCTGACGTGGTGGCATCTGTTTTCTGGGGAGACGGTTCAAGACCCTCCTCCAAAAAAAAATTAAGACCCCTCCTTCAAAGGCAGAAAATTTCACATGAAAAATTCTGGTTTGTATTGGCAAAGTGGGCATAGTAAATGTTAAATGTTCTCTTTCATCTTAGATAAGATGGCTCCCTTTTCACGGAGCCCTGTTTCTAATTTCTTATTTAGTTATTTATTTTTATCTATTTATTTCCACCTCCAGCCCACCGCTAACCCACACCTATTTTCTCTTTACGTGCTTAAACTTAGTAATAGTAATAATTAAAAAAAAAATCTTCCCAACAGTCATTTATTGTTTTACTTATTAAAAATGATTCAAAGTATAGTAAACACAGGTTGCCTTTAATTATATAGAGAAGCAACACAAGCATTCATTAACCTTTGTAAAAGTTTAAGTAATTCGGGGCATTCCTATATTTTAGACAAAACTATAATTACTATTCAGTGTGAAAACTTTGACAAAAGTTTTCTGCTTTCATTTCACTCTGTCACCCTTGCCCTCCACTATTTAGTGGCCTGAATGCATCTGTCTGTCCTTCTGTAACCCTTTAATCCCTGTATCCAGCCCATGCCCCTCTTCTCTCCTTTTCTTCAATTCAGCCCTTAACATTAAATTTTTTTTTAATTTAAAGTTTTAGAATGAAAAAAGAAATTCTGCCCACACTTCCTTTCCCTCCTTTCCCAGAGGCAACCATTTTGAGATCTCACTAAAAGAAGAAAAGTGTACTGACCCCTGAGTTTACTTCGGTTTTTCTGAGTAGTGTGCTATCACGGCACTGTTTCGCAGCTTTAGACATTATGCATTGACCCTCTGCGGTGCCCGATTAACCTTTAATTCCTCTCTTCCCCATAAGCGATAGGGCACTGTTGTGTGGGTGCGGTCTGGAGGAAAGGAGGTGCTAGAGTCTTCTCCAGTGGAGTCACAGCGATGAGCTTAGTTCCTCCAGCAGGGGATTGTGACAGAGGGGTAGTCCGCCAGGAAAGCAAATGACAGACTCCGCACCCCAGCCTTCTACTGGGGCCTGGTTGTGGAGGCACCTCCTGCTGGCACATCCCCCAAATCCCAGGCTCTCAGAGGAAGGCAGGTGTTGAACATAAACCACATTGCTTGTACAGAAACAGTTCAGGCCCAGTGAGGCACCTCAGTCATTCGGGGACTTTTTTTATTTTTTTATTTAATCAGTGTAGGAATTGTGTAGCAGCTATGGGCCCAGATGCAAGCAGACCTGCTCTGCTTTTTCTGCATAGTTCAGTTTTGAATTAATTTTTCCTCAGAGTTTTGGAGCTGTTTGTTTTCTGGTTTCTAGTATTGTGGTTGGAAAGCTCAATCCACTTTGATTTCCAATCTTTTCCCCCTGCTTTTAAAAACATGTTCTGAAATGTCATAGTAATATGCCTCAGTGGAGATCTTTGTAAAAGTATCTGTGGGCCAGTGAGTGGGCCAGTGATTGTCCTTGGGTAGTGGGACTCACATTTTGCAGTTCTGATTTTGCCTTTGGCAGTGTTTCTTTGAAAGTTTTTCCTTTGATTTTTCTCTACTTTAATTTTTGGAACTTCTATTATTTAAATGTTATCTCTTTTTTTCTTTTTCTTTTTTATATGGGAAATTTTCTCAAATTTTTCTTGTAATCCGTCTACTAAGTTTTTTCTTCTTTGCTGTTATTAAAAACAACACCGAGACATTTCTTGTCATCTGATGACAGTTTTAAATGGTATCCTTTTCTTATTTTTATGGATTCATTATCTTCTTATAACCTGAGGATATTAATTTAACATTTAAAATATTTTATTATAAAAGCATTTATGTATGTTATAAAAAATTACACATAGATCATCATAAATTTACACTAACAAAAGAGAAACATGCAAATTGACTATACCTTCATGATGCCCACCAGCCAATCAGGAGTGAGTATGCAAATCAACACAACAGCTGGTGAGTTAATTTGCATACGCAAGCACTACGCTGCAGGGTGGAATGGGATGCTTGTGTTGTCACCATCATGGCAACGATGAAGACGTTCTGTATCGCCCCAGCAGCTCCAGGCCCCTGGGCAGCGTGGGAAGCAGAGAGGAGGCTCCGAGCTGAGTGAAGATGGTGCCAGCAGCCAGGGGGAAGGAAGGCCCACTCTTGCACAAATCTTCATGCGTTGGGCCTCTAGTGAGAAAATAAAAACATTTCCTTTGTCTGCCGTTCTATTCTTAACACCTTGGTTTAAAGGTGTTATTGGCAAAGTTTTTTTTTAAAAGGTTTTCTTCTTCCTGACACATTTCCGTTTCCTCTTAATTCTTTTTTTTTTTAATTCTATTTTCATTTTATTTTGGTCTCTATCTTTTATTGATTGGTTTGCAAAGGAAATTGGGCTGAATGTCCAGGAACTGGTCAGGTAGCTCTGGTCGCCTTTTGGTATCTTCTCGTCAGTGGTACCGAGTAGGAGCCCACGCAGATAGCAACAGCCCAGGAGACGAGATTGAGCTGCTTTGTGTTCCTCCAGGGGGAGAGAAGCACACCGGCGGTGGCAGGGAGTCCGGCAGCGACGCCTGGAAACAGTACATGAGAAGGTCTACCTGGTAAGAAAGACGCTGGGAGGACGCTTAAAGCTATTGCAGTGTGCATTTACACTCTTCTACTTCCGCTCTGGCTTTATGCCTTTCCATTTATCTTCCTTTTTCTAATATTCCAGGCTCTCCCCTCCCTTTTGTACTATTGTTTTTCTACTTTCTTATCCAGCTTTAGCTAGTGCCCAACAGCCGACTAGGAAACCATCTCTTTGGTAGTTTCTATCAGAGACAGCATAGGAACAGGGCACTGTGGGGAGGGGTCCACCAGCAGGAGAAAGCAGAAGAAGCTGTCCTTTCCCGTTTTCTTTTTGGGCGCAGTTACCTCCCTTGCTGCCTGTAGAATCAGAAGGAGAGGAGGTGTGCAGGGGCTTGGGGGCCTGGCTAGCAAGCTGGGGGATCCCAGTTCTCTGAATAGCGAGCATGACCCTTCAAAGTTAGACTAGCTCATTCCCTCAGCACATGAGTAGCTGGTAAGGGAGTTGGCTTCTGGGAGATTTTGACTAGTTCTTTTTTTTAAAATACATTTTATTCATTTTTCACAGAGAGGAAGGGAGAGGGATAGAGAAACATCAATGAGAGAGAATCATCTATCAGCTGCCTCTTGCACACCCCCTATAAGGGATGTGCCCGCAACCAAGGTACATGCCCTTGACCAGAATTGAACCTGGGACTTTTCAGTCTGCAGGCCGAAGCTCTATCCACTGAGCCAAACCGGTTTTGGCTAAATTATTATAGTTCTTACTTTTTATCACATTGGGAATATCTGTTTTTCCTGCTAATTCAATACGTTTTTTAATTCAATATACGTTATTGAGAGAGAAAAGATTGTTATAGTCCCCCTATTCTCATGCTTTGAAACTATGAATGACATTACATGCTGAATGTTTTTTCAGACTTTTGTGTCCTTCCTCTTTTTTTCTTTTAGAAAACTGGATTCATACCAGAATTGTTTTCATATTTTCTTGACTATCCTGTAATTTGGACATTTCACATTGTTAACATATACCGTAGATCAGCTACATTTTTTAAAGGCATAAAAATATTCTATATTATGTACATGCTGTCCATCATTTAATTTTGTTCTTTTTTTCCCCCCCTCCTTAGTACCATCAACTACAGTAAGGACCTTCCGCTGGCCCAAGGAATCAAGTTTCAGTAAAGGTGCTTTAAATTGACATTACTTCAAGTCTTCCAGGTTTTCTTGCAGCTCTGTCTTCTGAAGCAGACAAAGAAATTAAGATTTTCCCTGAATAAATGCATCCTTTTGAGTATGACAGTGGCTAATTCTTTTATGCCCCCGAGGTCCTGACTAAATCAAGAGACTCATTAAAAAAAAAATTGTCATGGCATAGCCATATTTAGTATAAAGCAGGAAAATGGATTTTTATGTTTCTAGTAGTTACTAATTTTTTTTTTACAGTTTATGATTACTTCTCGAGGTGGCTTGAGTCACCACAGGAGAAGTTTGTTTTAATTAAAAATGTTTACTTTATAATTTCTCTTTAATTAGATATTTAAGGAGGCTCTTCCTCCTCCTGTGTATCTACAAAGCCATGACTTTGTGTCCAATGTGGAGTAATGACTACCCACTGCATGGTTGGGCGGGGGTTTCAGGGGATGCGGGGCTGGGGACTGGCAGCTCTAATCTGAGGTGTCAAGTTAAACTGATTCTGAAAACTCTCTTTGAAACTAATCCGTCATTTTTCTACGTATTTCTATCAACACCAAGGACATTTGCCATAATGTTTATTAAAAAAAACTTTACTTTTGAGTTGGTTCTCTTTGTTCTTTGACCTCACGAATGAAAGTTGCTCATTAGTGTCTTCAGCCACAGAAGTCACATTGTGTATTTGTATGTGTTCTCCTGGCTGTGTACCTGAGTGCATGCTTTGCTGGGAATCCTGTGCTGCTGACTATGTCACTGTGGGCCCAGGCTGACTCCCTACCCCTCCCTGCCGGCCTCTGGTGCTGTGGCCCTCCTGCCAGCTCCCAGCTCACACTGTGGATAGGAGGAGCTTGTGGTCAGCATGCCAACTCCTGCCTAGGGTTTTGCTGTATGTCTCCAGTCCCTGGAGAGAGCATCCAATCGGCCAATCCTAGGATCCTGGCTCTGGTTCTGTAGGAAGCGGGTAGAAGACTCAGTCATTTTGGTTTCCCTTTTGGGAGGGAAGCACTCCAGGTGAAGACTTCATGCAGTGTGATGAGGCAGTTTTCTCAAAGCAAATGGGGTGTCTGCCACCGCAGAACATTCTCTCAGTTATTCTGTCCCTGGGAACAGTGAAGAGACCGAGAGGGGTCAGTGTCCTTGCTTTTCTGTTCTAACCCGGCCGCTTTCTAACCTTTTCCGGTTGGCTTCTCTCAAGGCTGCCAACAGGGAAGCTGGTTTCTATGTCAGCATTTCCAGACAAGGACATGCATGTACATTTCCCTTCCTGTGGTTCCCTGTGCACTATTGTCTTACACCTGGTATTGCCACTTGTCTGTCCTGTTCCTCTGCTTTATTTTATCTGCCTGGTTGCTGTAGACATTTGCACTGATACTATTTCTGCCTTTTCTACCCCCTCCGTGCTCAGCACCCCTCCCTCGTCACCATTTCTTAGTCTTAAAGGTTTCCTGGAGGATGTGTGAAGAGGGTAGGTGACAGGCCATTCTTTTCAGTCCAGAAACTGGATACATTTTTTATATATATATATATATATATATATATATATATATATATATATATATATATATATATATAATTGGTTTTTCACAGAGAGGAAGGGAGAGAGAGAGCTAGAAATATCGATGAGAAACATCAACCAGCTGCCTCTTGCACACCCCCCATTGGGGATGTGCCCGCAACCAATGTACATGCCCTTAACCGGAATTGAACCTGGGACCCTTCAGTCCACAGGCTGACGTTCTATCCACTGAGCCAAACCGGTTTAGGCGTGATACATTTTGATGTATCCAATGTTGGGACTTTTCATGTAATGAAATCTGTTGATTGTTTTTCCTACTGAAGTTAAAAAGTTAGGTTACAAATATTTCTCTCTGCTTACTTTTTAGAATGTATTTTTAAAGAAGTGGTATTTGTGTGTATGCAGCTAAACATTCACATGGGGCGAGAATGCTTCTAGCGAACTCTGGCAGCTCCTGTTCCTTCCCCTGTCCGCCCACAGTTCCCACTTCACGCCACCCTCGCCTTCTCTGCTATTGTTGACCTCCTTGTTCATAAATAATAAGCTCATCCTGCTAGTTTTCAGTTCGTCAGTGTAGATACGGTCTGTTGACTTGTGGCTTATTACCACATCCTCAAACATAAACTTTCTCTTACCTCTAATCTGTGACTATCACAGCTTTTGGTTAAATGTATAGTCGTCATTTAATTATTGTGAATATGCAAAGATAAGCCAAGCCCAATCATGCTTTAAAAACACACCTACTTTCTCATCTAATCTTTAATTTTCCCTGGAATTAATATTTGCCCTTACAGCTTACTTTGCTTTGTATCTTTTGAACGTTGTTAAATACAGCATAAGAATCGCCATTTTAAAGTGTGGTTTAGTGGCAGTTAGTACATTCAACCATCTCCACTTCCTAGTGAAGCAGAGTAATCCCTCCTTTGGAAAACTGCTATTTGAACTGTTATTCGTAGACAGTCTCTTATTCTGTAGGTCAACTCTGTTATTTTTAGATAGTCCCTTATTCTGTAAGATAACTGTTTTAGTTTGAATAATAGAAAAATATAAAAACGTAGCAATCTGACCTTGCAAGCTAGCCATCTGACGTAACAGGCTAATGCTGATACTGATAATAATTCCCATATTCTGATGCCAAGGATGGGTTCATTATACACTTAAGGTTACAAACTAACAATGAGCTACACAGAGCTCCTTGTGAAATCTGCAGACAAAGAAGCTCGAAAGGTATGAATACAGGAAACTTCCTGTATGTGGTCGCTCAGAGATTTGGGGAACACCTCCCTCAGGGCCTGCGCGAATAAAGACTCCTAATTAATTGGCTCATTAAGGCCTCTCATATCTATCTTGCTGATTTACGACACAACACTAGTTGTAGGATATTTTTATTACCCCCAAAGGAAACCCCATACCCAGCAAGCAGCCATTCCCCACCCTGTACCCCTCGGTACCTAGCCATCACCAGTTTGCTTTCTATTCTGGATTTACCTATTTTTTTAAAAATATATTTTATTGATTTTTTACAGGGAGGAAGAGAGAGAGAGAGAGTTAGAAACATCAATGAGAGAGAATCAGATCAGTTGCCTCTTGTACACCCCCTACTGGGGATGTGCCCGCAACCAAGGTACATGTCCTTGACCGGAATCGAACCTGGGACTTTTCAGTCTGCAGGCCGAAGCTCTATCCACTGAGCCAAACCAGTTTCGGCTGGATTTACCTATTCTTGATATCTATAATAATAAAAGCATAACATGCTAATTAGACCAGACGTCCTTCCAGACAACCTGTACGAAGCTGGGGCTGCGAGGGAAGCCGGTGCCGGCCACCCGGGGAAGGAGGGCCTACTTTTTGCACGAACTTCGTGCATCAGACCTCTAGTTTTATATAAATAGAATCAGTTACTAATTATTTCCAAACGCCTGAATTATCTCTGTAGCATGCCTATTAATATTTTCCAATTGCTCATAACCAGTTTCAATTTTTATTTTACTTTTCCTGGAATCAAGTGCCCTTTGTCCTGTTTACTGCCATTGGCCTGGCTGCTCACTAGGGCTGCTGCACAAGCACCATCCTGGGCTGCTTTTGCTGCCCTCCCCTGTTCGAGTCCTGTGGTTCCCGGATCCCGGGCTTCCTCCTTACCTCACATGCTGTAGCATGTGCTGCAGAAACCTGAGAATGGTGCTTTTGGAGCCAATTTTTGAGAAATCTAAAAGAAAGGACTTTTCCTCCACATTGAAGGGGAGATTGGATATAGGATCTGGATTTAAAATATACTGTGTTTTGTTGTTTTGATTGCATTGGAAGGGCCCACAAATGTTTTGTGGTGGGGATATTTTGGTCTTTAATTCTTTGGAATTTGGATATATGCTATAATTTTATCTAAATTAATTTCCCCTTCAAATATTTAATAATTCTTTCCACTCCAAATTTGATAAAAGAATTTTCCTTTCCCCACTAAAGCTTCTTTTCACGGCATATTTATGGATACCAGGATTGTTTTGGGGGTTGTGTGTGTGTGTGTGTATACATACACATATTGGGTTGGTTTAATTCTTGTGGACTTTAAAAATGTATATATATTTGTATTTATTTTAGAGAGGAAGGGAAAGAGAAAAAAAATTCAATGATGAAAGATCATTGATTGGCTGTCTCCTGCACATCCCCTACTGGGGATTGGTCAATGCTCAACCACTGAGCCACACTGGCCAGGCTTCCTGTAGACATTTAAATTTCCTTTATTATATTTGTTTTCAAGTACTACGTGTATTACCTATGTGACCTTCAGAAAGTGACCTAACCTCTTTGAACTTCGTTTTGTTAGCTGTAACAGTTTGCTTTGTAAGCTGCACACACCAATCTGCCTTTGGCAAAGCTTGGGAAGCAAGCTGCTTAGACTCATTTTGCTCCTCTACATCCATTCTCTAACATTCTCTCTCCTGCCTTATCCTCTGGGGTGACCTCTAGACCTGTTCACCTTTGTGTTCTGGCTTTTGATTGTTTGGCCAGTGGTCAGAAATCAGAGCAGACAGAGGTCGGGATATTCGTTTCCCCACCCTCTCCCTGCCAGCCCTGGGGGATTATTGCCCATGGTTTTACTCCTTTTTCTACCATCACAGACCTGTCAGATGTCCCCTCCTCCAGAACGATACAAGGCTCTGCCAACACCGATGCCCCCAGTCAGCAAAGTGCAAATGGCATTCTGTGGGTTCTTCCTGGTTCACCACCTTCCCTCCCTGATTCCTTCCCTCCGGGAGTCCAGCTAGGAAGGAGGAAGTACTCAGCTGTCTTGTCAGGACACCTAGACAAGTGCTGGGATGAGTGAACGTCAACAACTTTTAGGGTTTTTGTTTCTGGACTCAAAATTAAAATTTTGTAACAGCAGGCAGTTGGCCTAGCATGGGTCATTTAGTTGTCCTTTGGCTTGGGGAGAGCAGGACAGCTGGATGCATAGTCCTAATGCTGAAATCGAGGGAGGAGAGTTCCCTCGATTGGGAAATCTGAGCGATACAGGAATGAAATATGGATGCTGGTCAGTAAAACTGTGCATTGCCACACAATGGAATAGTAGGATTTGTCCTATAAAAAGT